GAAGTGCAGTGATTAGTAGTAGTGTTGTGTTGTGGGTGTTGTTGGTTGGTCGTGCGTGCCTCCGTGGCGCAATGGGTTAGCGCGTTCGGCTGTTAACCGAAAGGTTGGTGGTTCGAGCCCACCCGGGGGCGATAGGGATTTTGACGCTACACAGCCTAAAACTAACAACTCCCACAACATCACGCACAATATTCACTCGAATCACACGACTCCATCTACCCTGCTCCACCACGCGCCAAACTCACAACAAAACCAACACTTTTGACACATCAAACACTCAACTTGACATCATCACTCACCCCTACACCTTCACAGCCATCCATACACAATACACAGTCTCTCTTCCATCTCTTCAACACTCAATGACTGACACTCACACCCTACCACCGCCTCTCTGTGTCCTCGTCATCCTATTCACACAACAAGTAGATCCCATCTACACCGACCCTGTCCCACTCACCACACTCTGTCCATATCCAACCAGTTGCAATCACGTCTCGTCTCCAAAAAACACGCTGACACACTCACACCTGATCACAGTCAGTCAATCGCATCATTCAGTCAAGACGTTGACCAGGTCGGCGTCAGTGTGCATGTGATAGATACACTGACACTGATACTGACACACTGGCTGATTGACTGAATGACTCACTGATTGGTCGACGGCGTAATCGACGCAGCCAATCGGAGCGATGATGACGTGAATTTGATTGGAGTGTTTCACGGGATGTGAGATGTGGATTTGTTAGTGGGTTGTATTTTCTGTCAATGATGCATCTGGTGATTGATGTGAGTGGTGCGTGAATCGGTGTTGTGTTGCGTGTGTTTGTGGGGATCGGAGTGGTTATGAGCTGTAGGAAAGACGTGGGTGTATTGACCAGCGATGGAGTATTCGGTGAGTGTGTGTGTGTGTGTGCGTGCTGGTGTATGTGCGTGCGTTTGTGTTTGCTTGTGTGGTAGTCGGTGTGACGGATGATTGTGTGCGTGTGCGTTTGCAGAGAGTAGAGAAATTCGACTATCGAAGGATATTTGAGCACATGAAATTTTGTTTGAATTGAGGGAGATGAGGTGTGTGAATTGAGAATTGGTTGTTTGTGTTTGAGGGTGTGAAGATGGTGTGGAGCGTTGGAGTGTCGGTTAACAGCCGAACGCGCTAACCCATTGCGCCACGGAGGCACGCACGACCAACCAACAACACCCACAACACAACACTACTACTAATCACTGCACTTCAATTCAACTCAATTCACAACACACACACACACACACACACCGACTCATACTCACCGACCATCATTTATTGATTGATGCACACCACACTACAAGCATTCCCAACAAACTCACACCCACCACCAAACCCCCCCCCCAGCTACACACGCATCCTAAACACACGTGCACAACGCAAACCGATACTCACTCTCCAACACTCCAACGCTCCACACCATCTTCACACCCTCAAACACAAACAACCAATTCTCAATTCACACACCTCATCTCCCTCAATTCAAACAAAATTTCATGTGCACAAATATCCTTCGATAGTCGAATTTCTCTACTCTCTGCAAACGCACACGCACACGCACACGCACACAATCTTCCGTCACACCGACTACCACACAAGCAAACACAAACGCACGCACATACACCAGCACGCACGCACGCACACACACACACACAAATCTCACTTTCCAACTGACCACGATGACCACCGATTCCTAATCATTCCTAGGAGTCATCCGAGTCGTACTGGTGTCCGCCTAACTTCACTTCACTTCTGATTGGTAATTTTTATTGTTTCCCTCTCATTTGGACTTTTGTAACTCCTTGTCTTTCGCGTTATTTTGATTCCAGTTTGAAATATACTTCTTTTTGTTTATTTGTTCTTCGGAAATATGCTACTCTCTTTTTATATTTTTTTCCGTCATTTTAATTTTTTCAGGTTCTTTTCATGTCTTGTTTTCCTTGACTTACTTCTTTTATGATCTTTTCGCCACAATTCATCTATAAATCTGGTATTCCATAACTTTTGTCGATGTCACGGTTTTATGAGTGAATTTGCTACCTTTTCATCCGTTTGCAGATCAGTGCACTAACTTCAGTAGTTAGTTACCTCTTGACGGGACGAGAAATCTCTTCCTTTCTCTATGCTCCAGAATTTGGAAATTTTGTTTTGTAGATACGATCGACTTAGAATTAGAAAGCCTTCGTACAACTCTCTTAAATTATGGATATCCTAGAAATTTTATCGACAGAAATATCGAGAAAGAAACCGTCCGTAGCCAAAACACAGCGCCGAAGAATTCACTTTGAATGAGTTTAGCTTTCGAAGATGACATTATTTCTGAAGTAATCAAAAGTCATATATCTAAATGTATTAAACTGTGTTTGTTATGCAGCTGACTTACATTTAGTATATACCAGGCGAAACATGATTCAATGATGCATCATGGATAAACTCATTCACATGCTCCTGTGGAGCTGATTGCATTGGACATTGTAAGCGTAAGTTCTTTAAACGCATAGTTGAACACTACTCGGTTTGGTTAATGAAAGGTGAGCAAAGGACAAGAAAGTCTTCAAATTTAAAACACCTTTAGAATTCAGATCATTCAGCCTCACATGATTAGTCCTTTAAAGTTATCTACTGGACCAAACCCATTGCCTCCAAAAGCTTACGTTTTTTCCACTCATGCATAGCTTGTCGAAGCTCTAGCTATACATGGACAAAAACTTAAATTATGTATTCAAAAACTTTTTGTCAAACGCCTTTCCTTACCTTGGTCATAGTTATATTCCTTTCTTTTCTTTTCATTTTACCACTTGAATTCATTCTACTTCACTTCACCCTCGCCGTCTTAAATTTCTTGAATCAACACCTTTATTCTTTATTCCTTCACTTTCCCAGGGGAACATAGGGCTTCAAGCTAGAGGCCTGGAGTTTCTGTATCAGTAATGACTATTTTTGCAGGATGGGGTTGCTAGCCTCATGCCCAAACATTCCTCTTAACAGTCTTATTACTGGCTTAGCGAGGTAAAGGAGTGCGCCGGCAGGGAATCGAACCCCGGACCATGCACATGGTTGGCGAGCGTCCTAACCGCTATGCCACCGACGCACAGAGACAACACTTGACCTACAGTTTTAAAATCTTTATACTAGTTCACTTATTTAATAATCTTTAAAGATTTTTAATTCACCCACTTCAACTTTACCGCGCCTCCCCTTAGTACATCATTTTAATTATCGTTTTTCCATTTGTCTGTCCTTCAGGTGTTGTCTAGTTTTTATTTATAGGATTAGTAGGTGAATCCAACAAAATAAAAATGTTACGCAACATTGTGTGAAATTTGATAGCAGAATTTAATGTTGCAAAACAGAATTGATTTAGAATGACAAGTGGAACAATTGAAATAATACCGGACACAGTTCAAAGTGAGAATAGTAAGAGTAACAAGTGACGTAATAAAAGAAGAGCATACAAATTGAATAGACAATTTGAATGTACGGGTGGACAAACATACATTGGGAGGACTCATCGATCTCTGCAAGTAAGGCCTTCAGAGCATAATCCTAAATGGCTCCAGAAACAAATGGAATCTTCAGAACCTATTAATGGTGAGAATAGGAGACCTACCTCCTCTATTGCGAAACATACTATAGAGACAGGACATAAAATTGACGTTAACACATCTTTCAAACCTATCTATAAAACGTGTTTGGGGCACATCCTAAAATTTGTGGAGGCCCTAGCTGGCAATTAGAAAGTTTAAACCACCTTTATGCGTTCAAAGCAACAATTTGTCATCACACTAAACAACCTTCCTTGGTAAATTTTGTTTTGATACTAGCCAGGGTAGATGTACTATTACATCTGCTATTTGGTTTAGTGGTCTTCATTGTTATTTCGACCTTCAATATGTTCTTTTAACTTGACCTAAGTAGTCTATTTTCTCACCTCTTAACTCTGTATTAATTTCATAAATGTATATTCCTATGACAAGTCCGTGTGTGATGGGTCAGATTGTTCGAAATGTGTTGCGCAAATACATTACACACACGATTCAGACAAATTACGTCTTCTTATTGCGTATCTAAATTCATAAATAGAACTAACTGTTTTGAATAGACAAAATGAAAAATGTGGTAGAGCCAAAATATGATTGGGGATTACCATATTTTAGTATAGAGGGATCATAATACCATGAAAGTTGGTGGGGTTGAACGAACTTTTTCTGTACACAGAGATTTGGATTTTCTATTTCAATAGCCAAAGCTTCAACAATACAGATGAGTCGGATACGTAGTGATTTCGGTAAATTACTTATTGCCTTGTAGATGAATTTAAAGGCGGAGGCTGTAGAAACACATGGTGATCATTATCGACCAGAAGTTCAATGATCGCGCTTCTTATCACTCCACTCCCACCTCTTCCTAACCATGCACGATAGTGTTCTTGCACCCTTTTGGAAATAACTCGAGTCGAACGATCGATATACCTAGCTACACACGAGTAGGTGAATTGATAAACGCACATAGAGTTGGTCAACAGCGGGATCTTGTCCTTGGGTACGGATGATAAATCACATTTCACCGGATTTGACTGTATATTCTTGTCTATAAAACATGGTGGAAATCCATTTTCTATTAGAATTTTCCTCAGAAGATATAAGTCATCCTCCAAAGTATCAGGGCTATATATGCGCCGAATGCGATTGGCAAGCGACCGTACCAGGTTTCGTTTTCGACCAATGAGTACCCAGCTACAGAAATTTGTCAGTTGACCATTCCATGCATATTTTATGTTTCACTTAATTTTTCCCTCTGCCTTTCTAATAATTTTGATTGATATAAGTATAAAACTTGGGCACTGTGGTAGAGTATAACGCCATAATGGTTAAGATTTTATTTTGATAAATCACACAGTGTTGTACAGTTATATTAACTGATGACGTTTCGAGCAAAAACTATTGCTCATAATCAATCATAACAAAAGAAATTTTCAAATCAGTATATTATATTTGTGTGTGAATTACAATTTGTCGCTCTCTTTTTTTCCCCAGTCTTTGTTTCTATGCTCATTTTCTCTTGCTTTCTTGTTCTTTTGGTAATAGATAGTTGATTTGTAGTTTAAGTTCATCAGTTCTCAACTTACTGTCTAAATTTCTAGCCTAAAAAAATACAAGAAAGTTTACATCAAATCAATGTAATTTTTGTCCTAACATTTTAAAAATTGTTCATTTCAAGATTTTGATTACGGATCGATATTAGTTTGGGTAAAGAAAGGACAACAGTGGCGGTTTGTGCAGAATAAAATGGTACCATCATTGCTTATTTCCTTGGCTTCTCGTCAGCTGCTTACAGGCCAAAGTCATTATTAAGTATATCTACAAAAACAATTTTAACATACTTGCACACAGAGTTCATTTTTAAACAAAAATCAATCGATCAATATATGCATAGAGTGATAATATATAAAATAATATTAAACACAATTAGACATTACGTAATCAGATGAGAGAGAGGGTGAAAATATCCACTTACCAGGCAGGGTAAAGACAGAATGATAACGGCTTCTTTCTGAACGCACAAATCAGCTTTCAGACGCTTGATGGAGATGGCTTCAGAAAACTTGAGGAGAATAGAACTCTTTTGCCTATTGATAATTTTGAACGACTTTTCGAAGTCCATCTCATGTCAAGGAGATGCCTGGCGATGGCACTGTTTAAAGCATTTGTTTCCTTCAGAAATATACTTTTTGGTACATGTTCAGAAAATCGTAGATACGCCCTTCTTTCTGTTCTTCCAACGTAACAGCTGCCGTAGATACATGTAAGTTTGTATATACAATTGGAGTTAACATGAGAAGGGTGAGTATCTGTCGATTTTTGATTGCACCAGAGAGCAAGTTGTTCGACAGACGGGGACGAGCTTAGCTGCAGGATAGGCTCTGGCTAGTGACGTACTCAGTATTCTGTTGACCATTGCTCCAATGTTTTCACCTTTATAATCAAGTTGAATGTAGATTGGTTTTTTCTCCACTGTGATTTGTTTTACATTTGTGACTTCAGATCTTCCATACTTGTTGATGAATCGTTGAGGGTACCCACTGCTCTTCAACATCTTTTCAAGAAACTCAAATTCTTCCTCTAATTTCTCTATAGAGCATATTCTCCTTGCTCTATAGTACAGAGTCTTGACTAGACCACGTTTAAAGCTATTTGGACAAAAGCTATTGAAATGTAAGTATTGTCCTTTCCATGTAGGCTTTCAATAAATTGACTTTTGAAGACTACCATCTTCTATGCGTTGCATGGCAATGTCGAGGAAGTGGGACTTTCCATCACTTTCATGTTCCATAGTAAACTCAATATTGGTATGTGCGTCACTGAATAATCTGAGTAAGTGTGAAGCACGACTTTCATTCCTGCACACTACAAATGTGTAATTGACATATCGACAGTAAGAAGTTGTTTCGTCGATTGCATATTTCAACTTTGTTATTTCAAGGTTGGACATGAATATATCTGCTAAAACAGGGTTAAGTGGACTGCTCATAGCTACACCATCCATTTGGCGTCAGAGTGTTGTCAAATTGGAATTGCACATACATGGTACACACTTTGGGAGTGGGAGAAGATCAGACTGCTGACAAATGATCTCAGTAGTTTCGTCGATTGGAATCATTGGAATCATCTATATCAAGCGCCTGAAACCTGATTTATGCGTTCAGAAAGAAGTAGTTATCAGTCTTTCCTTGCCGTGGTAACTGGATATTTTCACCCTCTCTTTCATCTGATTAGGTAACGTCAAAAGTTTCCATTGTGTATGATCATTATTGTTCGGAATAGTGTTTAATATTACAGATATATATATATATATATAATTGCTGTATGCGTATACTGATTGATTTTTGTTTAAAAATTAACTCTGTGCAAGTATGTTAAAATTGTTTCTGCAGATATACTTAATAATGACTTTGGCCTGGAGGCAGCTGAGCTGGTAAAAAACCAAGGAAATAAGCAATGATGGTACCACCTTCTTATTCCGCACAAACCGCTGTTGTGTTCTTGCCTGCATTCAAATTCATTAAGGGGAATAAATAGAGGGAATCACTGAAAGTACTTGACAGGTGTTTTGTCAGCCTAGTTTGGAATTTATCGGCAGTACGCACGCACCCACTTGGGTTCGAACCCACAACCTTTTGGTTACATGACAAACTCGTAGACTACTTGGCCACTGAGATCCCACTCCATGAATTCTAACTTCGATCAATTCGTGATTTAGTGCGAGTGGCAACAGTCACTGTCATTCGTGACGAGTATTTGTCATGACTTCCGACCACCTGGACCCCACTGGTCACGACTTCTCACTTGAAATCCAATCTAAACGTCTGGTTGTGTGGGATAGAACCGTCGAATAGGACATAAATTGAAGTGAACTCGTCTTTGGAGGTCACTTGTCGGTAAATACCTGTACCAACTGAATGAATGTGATTATGAATAAAGCAAGAACAACAGTTGCGGTTTATGCAGAATAAGAAGATGGTACCATTATTGCTTATTTTGTTGGCTTCTCATCAGCTCAACTGCTTACATCCTAAATGAATTATTATTAAGTTTATGTAAGGAAACAATTTTAACATACTTGCAATTTTTTTTCTTCATGATGTCAGTTGACATAAGGTTCCACAATTAGTGAACAGTGCTCAGAAAATCACACTTATATAGTTATTACACAGGCAGTTCAAGTTTAAACAAAATAAATGTGTGCATACAATGGTAAAGGAATTACACAATAAAGACGAGAGATGCGTAAGATGCAGAGTGACTAATAAATTAGGTAACAATATACTGAGTTCAACTCAAATCATAGAAACAAGAGACAAGCAAAGTTACACTGTATCAAAGGGGGCTGAGATTAAAGCCAAAGATTACGTAATCAAATGGAAAAAAGATTAAGAGATCCAGTCACCAGGGCAAGAAAAGACTAATAACTGCTTCTTTCTGAACACATATATCTAGTTTCAAACGTTTGATAGAAATTGCTTCAGCAAACTTGAGGACACTCGAGCTCCTTTGTGTATTGATAATTTTAAAGGATTTTACGATTTCCACCTCATGACCCTTATCGAGAAGATGTGTGGTAATAACACTATTATAAGAGTTTGTCCCATTGAGCGCAATTTTCTGAGCACTGTTCACTAATTGTGGAACCTTCTGTCAACTGACATTATGAAGAAAAAAATTTGCAAGTATGTTAAAACTTTTCTGTACATAAACTTAATAGTAATAATAATTCATTTAGTCTGTAAGCAGCAGTTGAGATGATGAGAAGCCAACGAAATCAGCAATGATGGTCCCATCTTCTTATTCTGTACAAACCGCGACTGTTGTTCTTGCTTTATTCAAATTCATCAACGGGAATAAATGCATGAAGTTTCTGAATGTGATTAGTCATCATATATTTCTGTGAATAATATCAACTTGTTATTTATTTTCCAAATCTGAATAAGGCATTAAGAAGACAAATTTCGCGAGATGATATCATTTCGTAGTTTCTTTACAACTGCTTTACAACTAACATGGTTAACAATAGTAAAATAAGGATCATGACAATTACTCAGTTAAATAAAAAACAAAAGTACATACTACTAATGACCAATCATATTTTATTAAATAGGTCAAGTAGTTCATGGAAGGCGAAGATTGAAGTCTATTGTCTTTCTACACACAGTTTAGGATGAATGTGATCAATCGAAAGTGCTTCCATCACCTTCAATAACCTTGAATTAGAGTTATGTGAAATAATTATGAAACAGTCATTAATATTGATTTTGTGACCTGACATTAATAAGTGTTTTGCAATGGACGATGCTGGATTTCTATTCAGATTACTGGCATTGGGATTTACTATATGATTTAGTAACCATTTTGGAACATGTTTTTTTGACGACCACATTGGAACATTCTGCTGGTTCTACCTATATAGGTGTCACCGCAGCTGCAGGTGAACTTGTAGATGCAGTTTGAAGTAGAGTCCACAGAATTTCGTCCTTTAGTCGTAGGTACAGGGATCGAAAATGTTCGGCAAATGAGAAAAAGAGATGCGGCGTAGAATGTGCGTTTGATGGCTGACTGAAGTCTTTGAGCTGTCAACTGCATAATCTGGTCGCCCTTGAATGGTAGGTTATTAACCCACGTAATTCTCTGGACTCTACTTCAAACTGTATCTACAAGTTCACCTGCAGCTGCGGTGACACCTATATAGGTAGAACCAACAGAATGTTCCATTGTGATCGTCGAAAGGAACATGTTCCAAAATGGTTATTAAAACATATAGAAAATCCCAATGCCAGTAATCTGAATAGAAATCCAGCATCATCCATTGCAAAACACTTATTAATGTCAGGTCACAAAATCAATATTAATGACTGTTTCATAATTATTTCACATAACTCTAATTCAAGGTTATTGAAGGTGATGGAAGCACTTTCGATTGATCACATTCATCCTAAACTGTGTGTAGAAAGACAATAGACTTCAATCTTCGCCTTCCATGAACTACTTGACCTATTTAATAAAATATGATTGGTCATTAGTAGTATGTACTTTTGTTTTTTATTTAACTGAGTAATTGTCATGATCCTTATTTTACTATTGTTAACCATGTTAGTTGTAAAGCAGTTGTAAAGAAACTACAAAATGGCGATATCATCTCGTGAAATTTGTCTTCTTAATGCCTTATTCAAATTTATCAAAGGGACTAGTTGTTTTATTTTCCAAATCGCCTAAATAATACACACAAAAATCTTGTTTTGAATTTGTAAACATACTGGGATTATTTTAGACAATCCTATAACTAAGGCCAAATTTTATTCGAATTACGATGAATAACGTGAGTTGCTAGTTCGGTGATACAATGCCTGCCAACCAAGCAAGTGATCGGCGCTTTGATTTCGGCCAATCCACCCGTAAACCTTAGAGCTATTAGTAAGTCCTTTAAAAAGAGTGGAGTGATTGGGTTGGCGTGAGGCTACCAACCTTACAGTTACTGAAATTTCAATGGTCAGGCTAGAAGACTTATGTTCCACCCGGAATACCAAACTATGAAGAAAAATGGTGACTAACAGGCGGCATTAATGCACCATTGTCGTTATTATTATTAGTGTAGCCGGTGCTACTGATTTATCGTTTCACTTCCAGGAACACCAACATATAATCTATCTAAAGAACTTTTCAGGAAATTAAATCACCTAACAGAATCATGCGACCATTCTATCAATTCGTCAATCCAATGTTTAGAGAAAATCAAAAACATTTAAGTAGAAGACAATGAAATAATGGTGTTCTTTGATGATGTCACAGCATTATATACATCAATTAGTCCGAAACTAGCAACAGAAACTATGCAACAATTACTCTATGGTGATGGAAACATAAAAACGCAATTATCAACTTGGATAGAACTCATAAAATGATGCGTTACAACATACTTCCAGTTCAATACTCGAATATATGAACAAATAAAAGGAACACCGATGGGATCATCGCCTATATCAGGATTAATAGCTGAAGCCGTTGTGCAAAGATTAGAATTAATAGCTCTACCTATAATTAAACCGAAAATCTGGGTACCTTACGTTGATGCTACATTTGTAATAATTAAGAGAAGTGATTTAGAATATACTCATAAATTAATAAACAACACATTTGAATACATCAAATTCACAAGAGAAGAAGAATTAGATAACAAAATCCCAGTTTTAGACGTCTTAATCAGGAGAACCAACACAGGAGATTTAGAAACACAAGTATATAGAAAATCAACGCACACAGATCAAATACTCAACTATACTAGCAATAATCCAATTACTCACAAACAGACATTGTTTAAAAGAGTTCAAACACATTGTAGCACTCCAGAGTTGAAAAGAATGGAAGAACAGTACCTACAAACGGTCTTCAAAAAGAATGGTTATCCACAAAATTTCATCAAAAAGTGTTTAAAGTCGAATCAAAGTGCCAACAAGAAACCATTATCAAAGACCACAAGAAAATTCATTCTACCATACATGAGAAATATCTCTGAAATAACAGCCAGAATACTGAAACCGTTTGATAGAGATATAGCACACAAGCCAGTAAAATCGCTTAATTCGATATTATGCAAACGAAAATATCCAACAGAAAAAGGGGATAAAATTAATACCATTTACAAAATAAATTGTATGAACTGCAACAAGCATCACATCGGCCAAAGTGGGCGTCCCCTTCGAATCAGAATCCAAGAACACAAATCAGCCGTGAAAAGACACGATATATATTCTTTATTATCAATGCATATAGACAATTATGGACATCAATTTGATTGGGACAATGTCGAAATCTTAGACAGAGGAAACATCAAATGCGCAGTCAGGGAATTCCTAGAAGCTTGGTACTCAAGCGAAAATGCAATTAACAAGCAAGTTAATATAGGTGAAATATACCAACTAATAAAAAGTAAATCAGGTGACCAGAAAGTTTAAAATCCAAGTCAATATAAAATGGTCAATACATATGTAAAGATGGTTACCGGGAGATGCAATTATATCACTCGTGAAGAAATTTAAATCATTTCACTTTATGCTTAATATTGCGCTGAAGATGTTGTCCAGAAGGACGACGAAAGGTCTGCATCTAAACCAACCAGCTCAGAGAACACTATTAATTGCAAATCATCTACGTGAGCTACAAATCTTCTCTATTATTTATCAGTAGTATATGAATAGACGCTGATCAGCATAAAAATATCAATAAGTAGAGATAGATTTGATGTCAGAGAGACAGGAAATGAACCAGTATTGTGGAAAACCATAGAAGACGCGAAAAGAAGACAAAGAAACACAATATGGAGGGCAGAAGTAGCACACCACGGAAGGTCAATGCAAGTGACCATTTTCGTATACGGGTATACATAATTCCCATATATGTGTATATGAAACTGCCAATAAACACCCGATTACCGGGTCTCTGGCATTCTCCTGTTACATTAGTATTGTAACAACAGAAGGCAAGGGTCAGGCAACAGATCGTTTATTAAGGAAATCAAAGCATATTTATATATTTTCATGTACACTATAATATATTAGTTAAGCAAACAAACACAGTCTTCTGATTGGTTGTTTCTCACGTAAAGTTAATCTTTCATCTCTTTGTGACTGTTTCTTGAATGTCAGATCATCTATATGTTGACTGTATCCGCCTACGCAAAGTCTGCTGTGGTCGGTTTTGAATCAGTCTTTGTTCATATTTTCTCACGACAAATCTTGGGAACGTAAATATTGACGTAAATTACTGTCTACCAATTTGGCCAGTAGACAGCTCTCACCACAGTATTACCATTTTCTGCAAATGATTTTAAACGGTTCTAAGTGCTTTCTTGTATATTACTGCGCAGTCTTTCCTTCTGGATGGTGTTGGTCCACTGGTGTTTCTGCTGTTGTTAAGCCAACTACCGAAAACCTCTCAAATCCTCTTCCAAACTTGTGATAGGTAATTAATTTCCCTTTCGCGTCAGCTGTAACTGATTGCGCTATCATATTTCACCCATTATTGCTTCCTTAAGCTACAGTCCTCACGTCCAACTTCGCAGTATGTTCTTGTATGTTCTTATTATTCTATTAACCCCTTGAGCATATTTTAAGGTGCCTACGGCTGAAGACAAATTTTATCAACACTTGCTTTCAATGGCTCCATAAGGGGAGGTCAGATAGCCCCTTCTCTCCCAGAATGAATGAAGAGCAAGGAACTTCAGTAGCAAACCCACTAAGAACCAATCTTCCAACGACTGGAGATAGTTTTGACATACAATGAGGAGGCCACTGGTTGATATCACGAGCCAGGCACCCGGGCGGGACCCTGATAAGTTACAAAGGGTTGGGCATGGCTGTGAGGGTAACATGGAGGAGATCGTGAGGTTAGGAGGGCTTGAAAGGTTACAGAGCCAACTGAAGAGGATATGCCGCCGAAGCCCTATATTCCACTGGGAACCTAAGGGATTATTTATAATACAGCTGAAGACAAGCCTTGGAATTTAAAAAAAACGATGAATACTTTGATAAACTGCAAATCTGCTTCTTCATCTTCCTGCTTACCTGAATGGCAATATCACCGAATATTGTTCCTTTACTATAAATCTGAACAGATTCCTTCCCCAAATTATTACTCCCTTCATTATATCTTTGATCATAGATAAACTCTGTAGCAAAATATACACGTCTTGCTTTACTTCCAGACTTGAAATCTTCCCCTTTAAGAAAGAATTCAAAGTGTTGCATGTCGAATAGACCTAGAAAGGATAGACAGATGGGTAGATAGATAAAGCGATTAAGTTGGAGAGAAGTCGTTGAGTCTGTTTTATGCATTTTAAAGCAAATAATATCTACCCTAGAAGGTTAATCAAAAGAAATATGAGGAATGAAATAGTTCCTCGCAGAGTCATGGTGCCGAAAAGGACACTATTTATGAGTTTGGTATTCAAACGTGATTCTATAGCTGAATTTATTAAAAGTTGTTCACACAAGTGCATTAAACACACTTTAATGTGACTGACTTACACCGATCACGTGTGTGTCCAGGATAGCGGTGGTGTGTGATGACGTTTTTCTCCTTGATAAAACCATGAGGGTAAGTGTTCGGTGATACGTTTGGATAGCAAACGCTGGGTTGGGGCGACATATCCAGCTTCAAAGTTGGAGTAGGTGAATTAATAAATGCACATTGATCAGGCCAGCAGTGGTAGCTTATCCTTCACGTTCACGTGAATCATTGGTTTCGTAAAGAAGATCAGTCAAAGTTTAGCCGCGGAGAGAGTTTCCTTCAGTGGGCGGGATAGGCGGTTTCTCAGTATTTCTTCCCTCTCTCTTTGGTCTATTAATCTACATCGCTATTTTGACCCTCAGTATAGCCTGTAAGCTTCACTAATGTCTGTTATGTCACCACTTAACACTTCACTAATATTCCGCATAAATTTCTATAACAAGTACGTGTGTCATCAGACGGCTCAACATGTGTTGCACAAATATATTCACTACACGATTCAGATAAATTACGTCTTCTTATTGCTTTGACGGATAATTTTGTGTCGCATACAGCCAATCAGAGTAAACTGCCTCATCATTTATTTGGCGTAATTTAATATGTGTGAAAATGCATGCATATATTTTATTCCCCAGTGAAACATAAAGGGCATTCAAGCTAGAGGCTTGAAGTATCGGTACGAGATGAGGTTTCTAGCCTCATATCCAACCTCCCCTCTTTACCACTCTTATTCCTGGTTTAGTGAGGTAATTTTGATGATGTTGTGTTCTCTGAGCTGGATAGTTAATTTGCGAAGCTTTCATCACCCTACTGGGCGACATCTTCAGCGCATACTTCAATTTGAAGTGAGCTTTTAGATTTCTCCACGAGTTTATTAATCATCTCTCCTGGCGATCTTGGACGTGATTGGTTGTTTTTGTGTGTTTTCACACCTTCTAGGTTAATTGTATTGGAAGTGATTGTTTCTTTGACTTGAACTTTGACCCTTTGTGTGTGACTATTCTTTCTTATCGGTTGATAAATTTTGTCTATCTCAATGTGTCTATTGATTGACGATTCACTGGAATACCAGGCTTCTAAAAATTCTCTAACATTCTTGTTGTTTCCTCTGTCTAATATTTGGACGCTGGTTGTCCCAGTTGAACTGATGTTCGTGGTTGTCTGTATGTAGTGATATGAGGGAGTGAATTTCATGTCTTTTGACGGCTAGCTTATGTTTGTGGATACAAAGACGAAGAGGACGTCCACTTTGGCCAATGTAGTGTTTTTCGCAGTTGATGCAATCTATTTTGTAGATGATGTTGGTTTTATCTTCCTTCGCTGTTGAGTCTTTTGGTTGACATAGAATTACAACAACAACAATCCAATAGCACACAAGAGGAATTGCATACAAACACTATTCAAGAGAGCCAGGACCCATTGCAGCACTCCCACCTCAAGGAAAATTGAAGAAAAATATCTCATGGACGTCTTCCAAAAGAATGGATATCCACGAAATTTTATCAAAAGACATAAACCCCCAACCAGCCAACCTATCAAACCAAAAACCCCCAAGGAAAGCACAAAGAAAATCGCCTTACCATATATAAAGGACATCTCAGAAATCACTACAAGACTCTTCAAACCTCTAGGAATTGACGTCGTACACAAACCAACAAAGTCACTTCACTCAATTCTATGTCAACCAAAAGACTCAACAGCGAAGGAAGATAAAACCAACATCATCTACAAAATAGATTGCATCAACTGCGAAAAACACTACATTGGCCAAAGTGGACGTCCTCTTCGTCTTTGTATCCACAAACATAAGCTAGCCGTCAAAAGACATGAAATTCACTCCCTCATATCACTACATACAGACAACCACGAACATCAGTTCAACTGGGACAACCAGCGTCCAAATATTAGACAGAGGAAACAACAAGAATGTTAGAGAATTTTTAGAAGCCTGGTATTCCAGTGAATCGTCAATCAATAGACACATTGAGATAGACAAAATTTATCAACCGATAAGAAAGAATAGTCACACACAAAGGGTCAAAGTTCAAGTCAAAGAAACAATCACTTCCAATACAATTAACCTAGAAGGTGTGAAAACACACAAAAACAACCAATCACGTCCAAGATCGCCAGGAGAGATGATTAATAAACTCGTGGAGAAATCTAAAAGCTCACTTCAAATTGAAGTATGCGCTGAAGATGTCGCCCAGTAGGGTGATGAAAGCTTCGCAAATTAACTATCCAGCTCAGAGAACACAACAACACCAAAATCATCCACCTGAGCTACAAATCTTCTCTATCATATCTTAGTGAGGTAAAGAAGGAGTGCGCCGGCCGGGGTTTAATTCCGGTGCACTCCTTCTTGCGTAATCGGTGAGCATCCTACCGCTGTGCCACTGATTCACAGAAATGTATGGGCATGCGAAATATTGCAGTTACAGACCTGTCTATACTCTGAAATCCTCATGGCACAATCAGATGGAAGGTATTGATAAAGAATAACTCTATTCACCAGTTAGACAAGTTTCGCCTCCCCTTAGTTTCTACATCTTACTTCACTTGGGAGCATCTAAGAGACTGAGGAATGAATGTGTCTTGAACAATAAACAAGAACTCAGAAACCGTTGTATCTAGCTTAAAACTTGGCTAAGAGACATCTGTATTCTGTTAAAGTCTATGGGACATTCCTATAACCAAAGACTCGATAAGGATAAAAGAATTTCAACTACGCCTCTACTCGCTGATTATCACCTCCACATTAGTTGATCTGTAATCATAGTGTCGTGAGAGCTGTCTGCAAGCCAAAATTGTAACGAACAGTTCACGTTTATGTTTACATCCCGAATCGGGATCATGAAAAAAAAACAAGAACAAAGCCTAATCACCGAAAATACCCATTGAGTCATGAAGAAAATAAAAGACAGATTCAGCGAAGAAAATTTTCTTTATCGACGAAATCATCTTCAGAGGCTGTACAGTCGTATTTATACTTACCAGAAAATATATAGTGGTCTATTATTGAGTAATGGGGTGATAGAGTAATAGAATCGTCTTTAAAGATCATCTACAAAGTGAAGCCAAATGGTACAAAGGGTGTCAGGTTTCGGCTTTTGTGTATGGCGGAGGCTCTGGCAATTCATCAATACAACCCTGAACTCTGTATACAGACAAAAAGTTTGTCCAGTCTCTTATTCTACCTTGGTCTTAACCTTCTCATTAATCGTTCCCTGTAAAAACATTTTGACTTTTTTCTTTTCTTTTTTGTAATTTTTAATTTTACTTTTAGTTTGCTTTTGCTTTATTAATTAATTCACTATTATCACTCTCATATGCTCCTTTTGTATATTTTCACACCCTCTTCACACTTGTTAAATTGACACTCAAATACCGCCTTTATTCTCACTCAATAGCAATTTTAACCTTATCAAATTTCTATCTTTGTTCCGTTGAGTACCACGTGATTTACAACTTTTAATTTTCACTTCTAAAACCACTTCTGAGTAATTATATCAATTATGTCACCCCCTGTTACTCAATAATAGACCACTATATATTTTTGTAAGTATAAATACGACTGTACAGCCTCTGAAGATGATTTTGTCGATAAAGAAAATTTTCTTCGCTGAATCTGTCTTTTATTTTCTTCATGAACAAAGCCTAACCTTGAGGAACTCACCAACTAATCACAGCAAATTTAGCGTGTGCAAATACGATTCGCAGATATATGGATGACTTTGTAAGCAACGGTCACAAGCAGTACAGAATAACCTTCGACAAGAAAACAACCAATCAGAAGACGTTGCTTCTCTGCTAACAATAACGCTAATAATAATGTACATTAAAAATCTATAAATATTTGTTGATTTTCTCAGTAAACGGTCTGTTGCCTGGCTCTTGTCTTCTGTTGTTACAATATAACACAAACGGATTTACCCAACGGCCTTCGGGAAAAAGAATCATGAGTTGAAATCGGTTGGAGAACCATTGGAAAACCCTCTGGGAGCACTGCACAGATGATTTTTCCCAGTCCGGGACTCCTCATCAATGTGCACCGACACACTCAGAACCTTCCAAGCTATACGGCAAGCTCGTAGACCGTTAAGTCACCAGGAACCGATCCGAAGGCCCATGAATTCCAACTTCTGCAAATCCGTGATATAACCCTTCAGGTACTAGCCAATGTCATCGGCAAGTATTTGTCCTCACACGCGACCCGCCGTACCCCACTGGTCACAAGCACGTTCTGATGAAGAGTCCCGAACTAGAACAAAACAGCTTTCCAGTACTCCTAGATTTTCCAATGTCTCTCTAACAGATGTCAGCTCATGATGAAATCCTCTAACCAATCAAATCAAATGCCTGCACACAAACACTTGAAAGAAGAAAGAGGCCTAGTAACTTACCTAGAACATGATTTCCATGATTTTTAATTATTCTTAAATGTCTTGCATATCTTGGAATAATATACAACATATGATAATTTTCATCTGCTGGAACTGAGAATAAAAAAGAAGAAACAACAACGACAACAACATAAAAAGACGCGTAAAATAATTTGTATAAGACATCAAAAACGTTTCCAACAGCCGCCTTCTCTGGCTCCTTACTGAAGATCAGGTGTCCGACCAGAAATAATTGATAACAAGGAACGCTGTCTGTGCATCAAATGAAACGAAAAGTCTACTACCAAACGAATATACCCAAAGAAATGGAGAGGGACTGGACACACACTGAGAATACCGTTGAATGACAAACATCACCCGCTAGGTCATCGAGTGGAATCTGAATAGGAAACGACAAGTTGGGCATGGATGTGAGGCTGAAATTGGGGAGTTCGTATGAGGAGGAAATGAGAGCTTATGAATGGTCATAGAGCCAGCTAAAAAAGAAGACAGATGACAGAATCAAGTGGTAATGTGCTGTTGAAGCCTTATAATCTACTCGAAACCCTTAAGAATGATGACAGTGGGTTCTAAGCCTTCAAGTTTTACTTTTATTATTTCTATTAGATTTATGGTCCTGTTGCTTCATTGTTTTATTTTCATAATTGCAAACACCAACTTATCTCTATGACTGCTGTAATCTTTGTTTTTCCCATCATCATATCATGGAAAGAGAACATTATATTCAATATTTTTAAACATGCAAGGATTTCTATACCACATCGACAATACTGTGTGAAACAAGCCCACGGCAATTTTCCCTTGTATTATTAGTATTACCTTATCTGCTATCATTATTATTATGCCCATTTTATATGCTGCATGTTCTTGACATTACCCCTATTGTAAATGTGGAAAATTTTCTGTGTGATTATTTTATTTATAATTTGAGGAAATTAGATGCAATATAGTGATTAATGCTGAAAATTCCTTTCTGTATCACAAGTACTGTTTTTGGAAGAAAGTAAATCATTACTATTATTATTGACACCGTAAGTAAGTCAACAAAACGTTTCACTTTATATAGGCTTTATACTAATTCGAACATATTAGAAAGACTTATTTTCAATTCAGAACAAAATAGTTAGAGCGAACAATTGTGGTTTCAATAAATCCTCCCTTCTTCAGGCTCGACAACGAGAAATCCATGAATTAATTTAAGCATACAGTAGCCAGTCAGTAAAAGCAAATTAGAATCATATCAGAAAGTGTGTTGTGGAACAAGTATAAGATGGGGTGGGTGGAACAATAGTCAGATAGTTTTTTAATATGCATGATCAATGAGAACATGGGACAAAATGAGATGAAGTAATTTAACCTAATGATGTGTGTATATATATAAATATAGTCAACAGAAAATTACAGGTTTCGACAGTGAGTGTAATCAGGGTGTGTGAGACAATATGAAAATAAACCAACGAGTGGGGCGGACTAGACATTAGCTCGAGGTTAAAGATAGCGACAATAATAATGATTGTAAAATAATAATGATGATATGGTGTAAAATTACAAGTACTATTGGCGAATGATTGTCAAATAATAAAAATGAATATAATGAAGTGGAATGAACAGGATTTTGTAAATACGATAACAAGTTAGAACAGCATTACTTAAACCTAAGGTAATAAAATCATAAGAAAGGTCATGAAATCATAAAAGTCGAAAATGAACGTTTGTCAATGAAACAAAGGAATAGAAGAAGAAGAAAAGAAAAGAAAACTGTGAAAGGAATTTATAGTGTTTATGGAGGATTTGTTGGCTTTATTGTAGGCCAAGGTAAACATAGAGGTTGAACACACTTTTTCTGTATACAAACAGTCGGTCTTCTGGTACTGATTGCAACCGCTTCAGTAACCGATAGAAGACGTAGACGAGCTCCTCTAGATAAATTACCAGGAACTCGGTAAATAACGGAGAACGCCTGGTCAAGTTTTATCGAGTGTCCAATATCCACCAAGTGGGCTGAGACTGCACTATTTACGCATTTGGTTACCCCTTTACTCAACCATACAGGTACATGTTCACGTGCGCGCATGGATAAAGCCTTCTGAGTACGGCCAATGTAACTAGCTCCACATGAGCAGTTGAATTCATAGATACACATTGATGAGGCCATCTTCGGTAATTTATCCTTGACTTGCTGTGTGAGTACTGGTTTAGTTGAGAAGTTGAGTACCAGTTTAGCTGCAGGAAATGTTCTATCTACTTCTCTGTTAAGTCGACATTTTAGAATGTCAGCTGCAATTTCTCCTTTGTAAATTAACTTGGGATATAAAGGTTTCTTATCTACGGTATTCACCTTTACCCTATCTCTAGGTATTGACATTTACTTCTTTAGGAAATTTTCTGGATATCCATTTTCTTGCAGTGTAAGTTTCAATTTACACATTTCTTCCTTAATGCATTCTTCTGAGTACATGCGTTTTATTCTATAGCTAAGACAATGAACTAAGTTTCTTTTGTATGGAATCGGTGTGAAGCTATGAATAAAATGGGTGTACTGACCCGTCCAAGTTTTCTTTCTAAATAATTTCCTTTGATATGATTCTAATTTGCCTTTACTGACTGGCTGGCTATTGTATGCTTAAATTAATTCATGGATTTATAATTGTAGAGCCTGGAGAATTTATTGAAACCACAATTGTTCGCTCTAACTATTTTGTTTTGAATAAATTATGGGAATATTCAAGTTACTTATTATTAAACCTGGAGTTTATGTTCCACCCGTGGTATTGTAGCATTATAAGGCAAAGATTTGGGAGAGATTTGGTATCTCTATATATAGTGAAATTATGTACAATTTATCTTCAACGCACCATTTTCACAGATCTTCCTTGTTGTGCCTGCTACTTCTGACCTTCACATTGTGCTTCTTGGTGTTCCTTTCACGCCTCTGTATCATTCGCTTTATTTGATGTTAAATCTATCTCCCTTCTATTTGGTGTTTTTATGCCGATAACCATCTTACTACTGATAAATCTTATCAGTAGTACACGCCACAGTTTGACAACTTTCTTCACATCTATGTTTTTATTGATTTATTGATTTAATATATTTTTTAAAAGTAATAAAACTTACGCGTCCGTTGAATTGTATGCTGTATAAGGTGACAAGTAGAATTATCCCCTTGACATACGCCACATTGATCTCTAACAGCAGTGCCGTTTACTTTGCCCAAACAATCAAAATGCTATTAAGAAAGGGAATTAATATACAATATATACTCTTATCAATGAACTTGAGTTACAAAATTACCTAAGACCCGTATTTTAGCCTTAGTCTCTCAAATTATACCCAAAATTAACATGAATAGCGAGATGTTTGTTGTCCTGTTGTGTTCTGTGTGATTTAAAGTTCTGGTAGCAGTGACGTTGTGTTTATAGCTTCCTACTGGTTATTAAATTAGGGTAGGTCTAGAAGTGTTTCGGTCAGGAATCGAACTCCCAACCATCTACGCCGTTGGCGAGCTTTCTACGCCAGATGCAAGAATCGCCGGGTGCATGATTTGAACTTATGGTCTTTAGGTCTATGAGTTCATACTTTACTGACTGTTTTACCCTGCACTTAACTTGTTAAGTCACCAAAAGCTTGTCCAAAAGGCCACCTGCTGACTGTCATCATTAACTGTGGCTGCTTTTTTATATTCCTAAGGTCAAATGACTAGCCAGAAAGGATAAGACACAAAGAACTCCTCGAGACAGCCAACCAGTCTAATAATTAGGCACAGGGAAATAGGGGTGAACAGGGCATCCACTGGGGAGGCATTCAAGTGGGATCAAACGCCAGGTCTTCGAGTAGAGTAGATGTCCTAAGATGTCACGGGAGAGATCACGTGAAGAGGAAATTAAGGGTTTCAACCATTCTCAGAGCTAGCTAGAGTTGAAGACAGATAACTGAAGCACAGTGTCCCACCTGGAACGAGAGGGATGTAAAATAGCAATGGTGAGTACCTCAGTTTGATAAATCTCTAGCTGCAAGCACTTTTATATAATTGCGATATCGAAAGGAATAATGTAAACCTGTGGGTCAAAGAAATTGTCTTCCATATGTTCGGGTATACAAATTAATGTTTCAAGCAAGATCAACTGGAAAGAAGATGAGTGAATCATTTAATTTTCAGTGAAGTAAGAGGGCTCTTTTTCATTATAATGAGGGTTTTTTGTGTTTCCCAATGAATGAAAAACAAAAAGATATAATTGTGTTTTCACTGACGTTTCGCTATTTAATGGTCCTGCTAACAGCTTTATCAAAGTATTGTTAAGTATTATTTCAAGTCTTCTTAGACAAGCACACTCTTTTATGTTAACGGGTGGGAAAGTAAAAAAGAAGAAATATCAAACATTACTGAGACTCTCAAACAAAATAACTACCCAAGGAACTTCATCAACAAAATCAACACTGACATTAAATATGCTTGGAAACGTATTCCGAAAACATAGACCTCAACAGTTGTCATTCCATATAAATCATTAGAGACGTCACACGATATCAGAAGAGTACTCAATAAACTCGACATCAGAGTTTTTTCAAAACATCAGACTCACACACCGTGAAACAGCCTTGTCCATATAAAAGACCAAATCCCTAAAGATTCTCTATCTAATTGTGTCTATAAAATAAAATGCTTGCTTGGAATGTGATGCGATGTACATCGGACAAACATCGCCAGAGAGAAATCAGAATCAGAAGAAATGAACACCGTAGCGCCACTTCCGTTCGACCACAGAGAAATCCAGTCAGCGAACTAGAAAAGCTTGAAAAATCACCAACCATAGGTTGTCTACACGCTACGCAATAGAATCAGGTCACAAAATTGATTCTGACAGTATTCGAATAATCATCCAGAAAAAGCATTTCAGAAATCACGAAGAACGTCTAATATCAGAAGCACTCCATATCGAGTGGAATCCAAATTGTCTGAATAGCAATGAAGGACTGAAACAGAATTTCCGCTGGTTACAATACCCGCCTTCCCATGAAATGACAAAATCAACACGAATGTGATAAGAAAATTCCATTATGTAAACACATGCTAATTTTGTATAATTTTGTACACTTATCAAATCCAAAAATATACACCTGGTTTTGTTATCTTTACCCCAATTGGCCAATTTGACAACTTAAACAGAGTTACCCCATGCTGATGAACGATGATTAAGTTATTTTACACATTAGCTGAGATTTTGTAAATTCTGGTTTAGTGATATTACTTTGATAAAACTGTTAACAGCAGCATTAAATAGCGAAACGTCAGTAAAAACAATATCGTTTTGTTCTTCATTCACTGGGAAATACAAAGAAACCTTTATTATAATGAATATCATAGACCACCCAATGTCCAAATTTTTTAAAACTGTTAAAAGTGAACTTGGTTTGGACATATATAGCGCTCTTTTTCGGTTACTTCCATTCTTGATTGGACACCAGTCAGTAATTAGTGTATCGTGTCTTGTCATTATCTTTGATACAGACTGAATTCTATCAATCAGGTTTGCAATATGGCCGCCATGCTTGACTGATAGAGTTCAGTCTGCATCAAAGATAAGACTAGACACACTCACATTACACTAGTTACTGACTAATGTCCAATCAAAATATCCAACACAGTCCTACAAAGAGATCGATCGCGAGCACGTACAGCTCAATGATAACACCTCTGACTGCAGCACTGGGTTGGTTGGTTCAGACATTGTCCTTACCCCGCTGGCCATCTAGGTTCTGATGATCCTCAGTTTGTTTTGTAGAAATTTCTCTAATTTTATTTTATATTCTATTTGCTACTATATCTTTATTATTATTATTATAATTTAAGCATCTTTAATGAATTGTAATTCCATTGTGATCTTACTTAACAAATCGATATTATTTAAATAAACACACTAATATTGTTATTGACTACTATTCTAGAATATTCTACGTATATAAACATATATAGGTATGTAATTGTAGAGCCAGAATAGGAGGAAATTATCGATATTATTATTGTTTTGTTTTGCTTTTTTGTGTTTATTTTTCCAAATGTCTGAATAAATATTTTCGCCATATTGAAACGAATACTGTTTAATCACTGATCAATATTTTGAATTTACACTAAGAACTTTTGAACAGTTAATTTCCACCTGAAATTCTCAAACCTAAACCTCAAAGTTAGACCACTTTGATTGAATAAGGATGGTTTTTATGCAGACTGCATGTGTTTATCCGTTATAAAATTTGTTAACTTTATGTGTTCAAGTTTCAATGAGTGTTTGTGTCTCCACTTAAAAATGAAGTCTAGTGTCAATTTGTAAGGATGTGGGCAGTTTAATGTTGGATCGTAGACTGACATCAGTTAGAGACGTGTCGAATACAACGGAGTACTCAACATCTGTTTCTTCGTTGAAAGGTAGCTAAATATCCAGTAGTAACTAGCGACAGGATGGCGTTACCTGTGGTCCTAGTAAGGGCCAAGTTAAACTTTAGACACCAATAACTAACAATCAGCGAACGACGTCGAATTATCCAATGAGATTCACGAACGTAGTTCAGTGTTGTATAGCGCTTGATTTATTTCCAATGCGTGCATTAACAAGGTTACGTTTGCAATTCGAGGAGGATAGAGTGTCTTTCAGTATTGCCTGGACTTAGGCTTGCTTCGAAAGGAGAGAAGTTGTTCGTGTGGTGGTGTAATGACTCTAAAAAGCTATACTAGGTCAACTGATGGTTTTGTACATCGTTGTGGAATATGCTGGAAGCGAGTTATTCTTAGAGAGGGTAATATTTCGTAGGAACTGTTTTTGCTAGGTCGCATCTCTCCCTAACCCAGATTTGGTACATTTGCAATTACTGGGTACTGAAACAGCCCGTGAGAGCCGCTGCTGCCAAGACGGAGAACAGCCTCGTCTCAACAGTTCAGTGGTATACCAGCACTGCAGGGACATCGCCTCATGGAAAATGGAGAGAATTACTTCGTTGTTAGGCGGGGACGACGTAGTAGTCCATGTGGATGAGACAGTGTTGGTGAAGAACAAACATAACCGCTGTCGTCAGAGAGCGAACAACATTTGGGTCATAGGTTTATATGACACGTCCCTCCGAAAAGGATTTGTTGAAGGAATAGTAGACAGGAAGGCGACTACTCTCGTACCTATTATAAAGCGACTTGTGAAACCGGAATCAATTGTACATACCGACGAGTGGAAAGGCTATGATTCATTGTCATCCCTGGGATACATTCATCACAGAGTGAACCACTCCAGTGATTACGTGGATCCAGTTACAGGGACTCATACAAATTCCATTTAAGGATTTTGGAGTCGACTGAAAAATAGAATAAGGGTTATAAATGGATCTCATTTATAGTCATTTAGATGAATATATGTATAGAATGTGGTGCGACTTCTCTATTGACAGTCCCATGCTGAATTGGGAAATGTTTCTCTCCCATGTTCGGGAAAGATACCCATTGTAACCGTTTTATCATTTTTTTAAAAATACATTTTTCTATAAATATACGTTTCCGCTTATCATAAACGTCCCTTTCATGTGATTGGTCCGTTCAAGGTCGTTTGCTGATTGGTTGTTACTGGTGTCGAAAGTTTAACTTTGCCCTAGTAAGAAGTTCCGAATGAAGGGACCACAATGGTGACACTGACCAGCAGTAGCGCTATCTATCGCCAATCGGTAGAAGTTAAAATTCTCGGAACCCTATTATCCTCTCAAGTGGCTAAATAGTCAAAGGGCTAGTCTGACTATCTGAAGAACATGGGTGTAACCAGCAGTATGTTCATGGATGCATACTGGTGAACATTTACAAACCAGGACATCTATCTCTAACCGATCTAAATCAGCAATCATCAGTCCGCTAGGAATTTACCAAAAGCTACCCCTCTTTTACATCCCTTCCTTATCTGACATATTACAAAAGATTAAACGTCACGTTAACAGTCACAGAACCAGTCACAACAAAACTGTCAGTAAAACTTACAACACAAACAGATTGAATACAACGTGCGTCTGGGTTGTCATAGGAACACGGTGTTGAATCACGTACTGACATGGATGCATCAAATATTTGACCATTTTGCAATGAATAACAACCTAAATGACAGGGTCCTGTAGAAAAGAAAACAAAAGTTTCATATAGATATCTGTGCAGGGTGCTTTTAACTACTTGTATATTTGTTTGAGTAGTATATTCCTGCATCAGTTCAAATACAGGGAAATTGATTAAAAGAGGATGGAGCATATGCAATAATATGTTGACGAGCAGTTGAGTTATTGAAAAGGGAAGAATAATAACCTCCTAATGTAGGTATTTCAATGGTGGAATGCTGCCCACCCACGCCAATGGTCGTGGTCCGACCTTCAGCCGATGTACAGCAGTGATGAACAGTACTTATAATACAAAACGGAATTCACAGCATTTATCCCAATATTATATCTAACTTACTGAAAATATAAATAAAATTAACCACAGGAATTTCTCCACATTTACGGAAGGAATAAAGTCGAAAATGTGTAAAGTACAAAATGAGAATAATAACTCTAATAATAATAATAATAACACAGTGGGTTTGTTTCGATACAGTATGGAAATATTTAGCACATTATAGAGTACTGAATCTAATGTTCTGTTGATATAGCATTCCGATTTTCAACACCAATGTGAAGTCGGTTCTTCTCTACGGGCCAGAAACTTCGACTGCGTGTCAAGAAAAGGATTTCCAACAGCCTGTTGCAGACTTTCATCAACAGCTGTCCACTTCGCTGGCTGGCTTCATACTGAAGATCAAATGGCCAGCCCCCAGAAAGAATAAGCAACAAGAAACTCTGCAGCGGAACAAACCAACCAAGAGCCGATCGCTCAACATATAAATAGGAGGAAGTGTAAATGGATCGGGTATACATTGAGGAGACCGCCGAATGACATCGCACGCAATGCAGGCCATCGCTTGAGTGGAATCCAAATGGGAAGCGACGAGTGGGTCGTCGGTGTGAGGGTGACATGGAGGAGATCGTGTGAGGAAGAGATGAGAGAGTTTGGTCAATCGTGGACCCAGCTGAAGAGGACGGCAGAAAATAGAACAAAGTGGAGATGTGTTGTTGAAGCCCTATGTTCCACTCGGAACCCAAGGGAATAATAATAATTAATATGCATGTGACTGTTCAGCAAGATGAATTGCCTGGCTGACTCTCCGTGACCTAAGAGATGAAGAATGAGTGCAACACTCGTTTAAAAGAAACACATGTGGTAAATAAACAACACATTTCAGTGATAATTAATTACCCACTCAATGGCGTAATCACTTACTTTGAGGATAAATATAAGGTAACCATTTATGATGTACTCCTTTCAATTTAAAATTATTGAATCGTGAACATTGTTCTTCTCTATAATCGATATACTTTGAATATTCTTCATTCTAAAAATGGTTGAAAATGTTTCTTGTTATGTGAGAAGAGTTTTCAGGTTTATAATTATACATAACATTGATGATAATAATAATAATTTGCTTTATTTCAAAACCGTACTTGTAATACAGAATGGAATTCTCAGCATTTTTACTACAGTATTGCATCCAGTTAGTACATTATCAATAAATAGAATTCTACATAGATTAAGGAAATCTCAGTCAATTATGACAACAACTTATTGGGATGTCGGTAGCAAAGCCAAAGTTGAACAGTGTTTGAAGGTGTTAGAAAAGTAGGTGCTATCATATTTACTGGCGTAAGCAGAAGAAAGAAGTAAAGCAGCACATAACGGAAAAAAAGAGAGAGAAAAGGAAAAGAAAGAAAGAAAATGTTGTACCTATGAATGATATGAGTTGGAAAGATGAGATCCAGTTTTACTACTGACTATTTAATGAATTATAGGTCTCGCGCCTAATGCTTTCTCTATCGCACAGAACACGAGCCAAGTAGGTTATGGTTGAGTTTTTGTACTTGCTGGTTGCGAGCATATAGTTTTCTATATAGGCTTCTGGTTTTACCTGATGAGATGCAAGGGGAGAGTTGTGAGTGAAGAGGGTGGTGTGAGTTAAATAAAATGGATTTCGCCCATTTTTCACATGAGTCCATGTGCCTGTCGACCAGAATATTAACAAGCTGGTTAATGCTTTAAAGCACTCTGTATAAGATCCTATCTGAGCTGTGTTTCTCACCCGTCGAAGCTTATCGGTAGATCACGTTTGTCATTTTAGAGGAACCAGCACTAATTTGACGTATTTAAAACTGCGTTCATGAACTACAAACATTAATGCTGACTTAATTAAACCGTCAGGCCAATTCGATAGTAAACAGTTTCATGTTTCCTTAAGGAGTGACACTGAAAGCCATGGAGTGCTGAACAGCTGCTTCGTAATAATCCCAGACTCTTCAGTAGTGCGCAAATATGACCCCCCTGTCTGGAAATGAACCCAAGAGTATCTGGTTACGAGGCGACCTCATCGACCATCCAATTACTGGGATAAAATTAGATGGAGCATCAGTCCTGAATCCTATCTCAGGTGGAGTAATCGGTATGCACCGATGAAGAATCCCAAATTAGGACAAAACTACTGACCATCACTTTCAACTAGTTTTCTGTAGATCTCTAACTGGTATTAATTCAGGATCAAACTTGAAGCCAGTGAAACTTCTACAAACTGATACCTGAAGACAATTGCAGGTTATTTAGTTCCAACCACCGATTACATTATGTCCGTATGAATGTTCTGTGTTCTCCTTAGAACTTAATTACCAAGGCCAAATTTTCAAGTGACAAACTGTAAACCATACTCTTTTTGTGAGATGTGATAATGCTGCCCGACTGTTCAGCTTCAATTAGATGTAGCTAGATTCGAACTCAGGATGTATTAGTTGAAAGTTGACTGTTTAAAGTCGATGAAGATCTCAATTGAAGCATAACTAACAAGCTAAGAAGGTGAATAGTATGGTGTTTTATATTCGGTTCAGCTCCAATTCTCTGCTGAAGTACTCTCGAAAACCTTACCTGGCCGGTAGTAAGTCTGCAAAAGGCGGTGGTTTGGGCGTATGGCTAGAAATTCTACGCAGCAAAAGGCGACAGCGTCAACACTACTGAAACTCCAAAGCCTGAAGCCTTATGTTTCGGTTGAAACTTAAAGTAATGAAAAGAACCTAGATGGTTGAAAGTATTCAGTAGAAAATTCTCTTTGATCTGTGTTTTAAATTACTTTCCACTCATTAGCTGGTATATTTATAACACTTGGTAGTAGCTGGAGGTTGCCAGAATAAAAAACATTGTTACAAACTTGTCACCACTTGATATGATATCATCGACAGTAGATTTATGCCCGTAGGTATAATAATACTGACACAAGGAACAACTCGACTGTGATATGCTAAATAACGCCTATTCGTCCATAATACCTTCCACTTTACTAAGCCACGTAAATATCAAGAGAAAAAACTGGCTTGGGATTGTTGGTATACAATTTTTATTTGGAAAAACACGTCCTATTTATATATTTTTAACCACATTGAAATCCTTTAATTCAATTTTAGATTTTCCTGTCGATTAATTGGACCGAAGTGCTCAGTCTCAGGTTGACATGTCTTGGCTTCTTGTGAAGATGGTTCGACGATGTCTAGGCATGTAATCAGAAACTGATTGGTGGCTGGTGACTAGCAGTGGAATCCGCGATGCGCATTTCGTCATACTTGGGACTCGGTGGGAACATCATCACTCATTGCGGAATGCAGGGTCATCCAGTGATGAATTTTAAATAGAACGAAATGTGCGTTATCCTGGATTCCACTGCTAGTCACCATTCACCAGTCAACATATTGAAATCTGCCTACAGCAGTGGAAATAGACTGTTCTGAACAAAGTAGTTCCAGCGAACAAATGTGATTTCAATAAATTCTTCTTCTTAAGGCTCTATTAATTGCAAATCCATTAATCCGAGCATACAATAGCCAGTCAGTAAAGGCAAATTAGAATCATTTCAGATGTATTGTGGAACATATATTAGATAGGATGGAACAATAGTCAGTTAGTCAATGAGAAAATGAGATAGAATGAGATGAAATCACTCAATAACGGGTATAAATATGCAGTCCACAAAAGTACAGGTTTCGACGGTGGACGTATTAGACGGTTCTGATTGGTAAGCGATTCGGTTAGGTCCGTGAAAAATCAATACTCTGATTGGTTGGAGATTCGACTAAGATCAAGGTGAGAAAAAGATGATGGAATTTTACAGTCATCCGATCACACGATGATTTTGTAAGCCGATTCCTATTGTGGTGAGAGCTGTCTACTAGCCAAATTGGTAGACAGTAATTTACGTCAATATTTACGTTCCCAAGATTTGTCGTGAGAAACAACCAATCGGAAGACTATGTTTGTTTGTTTTCATATCCATAGTAATGTACATGAAGTCGTGAGAAACAACCAATCGGAAGACTATGTTTGTTTGTTTACATATCCATAGTAATGTACATGAAAACATATATAAATATGCGTTGATTTCCTTAATAAATGATCTGTTGCCTGACTCTTGCCTTCTGTCGTTACACTATCAGACGCAGATGAGCAGAGTTATTTACAATAATGAGTGATGGGTCCCAACATAGATGACTTTTTTTCAAGTAGGTCAGTGAAGTGTGGATTACAATTCCTATATCCTACCAGCCTACCCACGAGTTTAAAAAAAATTCATTCACGTTTCCAGTGGAACATAGGGAGCCCTCAATCTAGGAGCTTGAAGTTTCGGTAGCAGTGGTGATTATTTTTACTGGATAGGGTTGCTAGCCTCATGACCAACCTTTCCTCTATGCCAGTCTAACTACTGGCTTGGCGAGGTAAAGGAGTGCGTTGGCGGCCGGGGATCGAACCCCAGTCCACATGTGTGGTTGCTGGCGAGCATTCTACCGCTGTGCCCCTGACGCAAACCTAAGAGTAAAAGCTATTAATCAAGTCATGATTTCAATGGAATCATCATGTGTTATGCCCAGTTGTCATTTGATGGATGAATGACTCAGTTTTCCTCCTTATATCTTTCTTTGTTATCCTAGTGACACCCTCATCTTCAAGATTGAGCTTTTAAGTTTCAGTAGCATTGGTTATATTTTAAAGAGTGGGACTGACAGTCTCACACATTCAACCTCCCTCCTTTGCTGAACCTATTACCACCATCTTAGCGAGGATTCGGAGTGTATTGGCCTGGTAAAAACTTGATTTTCTAAAGTTGGTTTGTAGGGATTAGACTGGCTTTTACGAGTTGATCACGGACTGATATCAGTTAGAGAACCAGTGAAAACCAGCACGGAGTACTGGACAGCTGTTTCATCCTACTTTTTTGTGAATCATCATCAGTACGCAGACACACTACGGGGTTCGAACCCATGGCCTTCCGGTAACAAGTCAAGCTCGTATACCATTCAGTCACTGGGACCCAATCGATCCAATGGCCAGCCCATGAATCCTAACCTCTACCAATTCGTGATGTATTTAGCGCGATCACCAACCAGTGTCGTCGGTGGAACATCCATCCTCTCATGTGACTGGATGGAGCCAGTGATATCGATCCGTGATCAACTCGTAAAAACAAAACTAATCCTTACAAGGCAACTATATAAAATTAATCTGATGCTCGCTACTGAGTTGATACAGGACGGAGTTTCCTGCGATTCTAGTGAGAAATCATGACCAGTTAGGTCCATCCAGTCAAGTGTGTGAGGATGAATTTCCCACCGATGACATTGGTTGGTGGTCACGCTAAATACATCACGAATTGGTAGAAGTTAGAATTCATGGGCTGGCCATTGGATCGATCGGGTCCCAGTGACTGAATGGTATACGAGTTTGCCTTTTGACCGGAAGGCCATGGGTTCGAACCCCGTAGTGTGTCTGCATACTAATGATGATTCACAAAAAAGCAGGGTGAAACAGCTGTCCAGTACTCCGTGCTGGTTTTCACTGGTTCTCTAACTGATATCAGTCCGTGATCGACTCGCAAAAATACACTTGATTGGCAAACATTCTACCTCTACACCATTGACGCCTACATAAAACAAAAAATCGTATGACGCTTTATATTACTGATCGACTGACATGAGTAGTTGAATACAACCCCCTGCTGATAACGGCCAGAAGTGCAGATTACGAGTTAATTTACAAAATGACATTTATGATAAAATTTAAAAACGTTTTACTTACAGTAACAATGTTACATAACTCATATTCAATTGTATTCTCATTATCACTGTATTCACACTTATTTCTTGTACTTCAAAGGGTAAAGATATTTTTGAGAAAGAAAGGGTACAATTAGCAATGAAAACAAAAAAATTGGGTTTGAGTATAAAAGTTACAGGAAAATAAACTTTCCGCACTTTCATTTCAGCCTATTTGAATAGACTGGACAGTGGCGGTCAATTTAGGATTTGAATTTCCGCGGATAAGTGATTTTTTCATTATGCGTGCTTACAGGAATGCTGTTATCACATAAGATGTTACATTCGGCTATTTTAAAGATAATTTATAAACTTTTTATTTGAAACAGCTGGAATATCTTTATAAATTATTTAAAATAATTCCAGCGTGTTTAAGAACAAATTAAAACAAAATTTTTCTTGACGTTTCGCTGCATAAGCCACAGCTTCTTCAACAGAACTATTCGGATTTTATTAATCATCAAAAAAATTATAAAATATAGACTGTGATACATTTGCACCAATGCGGCTTTTTGTACACTATGCTCGAAAACACCTTGTAATTGCCTTTGTCCTCACCTAAAAAGGCTACACCAGACTACTTCCTTGGGTTCTGAGAGGAACATGGGGCTTCAACACCGTATCTCCATTTGGTTTTGTTCTTTTCAGTCTAGTTTAACTGGCTCCACAATTTCCCATAATGTTTTACCTCATTCTCACACGATCGCCCCCTCATGTCACAATTGTAGAGCCAACTTATCGTCTTCCATTCGTATCCCACTCCACGGTTTGTCTGATGAGCGAAGTTACCCAATAGTCTTCTCAGATTGTTTCCTATCCATCTCAGTCTCCTTCTACATAACTTTGAACAGTAGGTACTTTTTTGGTACATTCCCAGGGTCCATTGTTGCTAATCCTTTCTGGCATCGGTGGCACAGCAGTTAGGACGCTCGCTGACCATGCACATGGTCTGGGGTTCGATCCCCGGTCGACGCATACCTGATATCAATGGTTGGCTTGCTAAATTTGGACTATCCGTATAACATGCTGGAAATTCCATACTTGTACCAAAATACTGTGTGCAATCAAGCTATAATAAGATTTTAAAAAATAAAATCTTCACTATAGAGTGGAGGCACGTGATGGTGTTGAAAGTCCGTGGCGTATTAGAAATGCTTTACGTCACGTACGCGCAAAGTTTATGGTCCATAAAGAAGAACTGACTGACTTAGAATTGGAGTTGAAATTCTGAATCTTATTCTTTATGCTGGGTGCAGAAGATTTCCACACTGATTTCAGAGTGATGAATGTCCAGCCTGCTTTTTCGATCCTGACTGATTTTGACATCCTCATCCGTGTAGTCATCTGTAGTTAAAACAGTATTGCTTAAACAAGTGTGAAGGGAGCGAACTCGTTTACGTTTATTCCGTTGTTATTCACTGGTACTTGTTGTTACCTGTTAGTTGGCTGTCAGCATCACCCTGGGTGATGGTAACACCACCGAGCAGTTTGTTCAACTGCTCATCGTTGCGGATGGCCAGTCGCAAGTGTCGAGGGATGGTACGGGTCTTCTTGTTGTCACGCACGGCATTACCAGGCAGTTCAAGCACTTCAGAGGCCAGGTATTCGAGGACAGCTGCCAAGTACACGGGTGCTCCAGCACCGACACGTTCAGCGTAGTTACCCTTGCGCAAGAGACGATGCACACGACCAACTGGGAACTGAAGACCAGCACGAGCAGACCGAGTTTTGCCTTCGCACGAGACTTCCCACCTTTGCTGCGACCACTCATTATTATACGTTAGAGCAGAGAAACATGTCTTCTGTCTTCTCCTTGTCCATGTGAAGTCATGTCTCCACTGCTTCTGCTTCCGACTTGTTGTTTTTGGACTGTAAATCACCGCGCTTGTGTAACACTGGACATCAGTCATCCAAAATGTGTAGATCCTTTGGGTTCTTCTTATCGATCTAATGTATTCCTGCCTTTTCGCTCTCCACACTCTACCTCACACTACTATCCAACACATTCAACTAGAGCGAATAATTACGTATTAGAATAAACCACCATACTTTATGCATACTATATATTTATGTATATGCATGATAAAATGAAGCTGGCAAGACACATAGTTAAACTGTTACACTAACAGAGGAAAGTTGAAAAGTTCCCCATGATCTCCTCCTTATTACAGACTCTTTTCAAATGAACTATTAGAAGCGTTCTTTAGTCATTACTGACAGTCTACCTTGAAGATTGTGGTAATGGACACTGTCACAGAGTGACAAATACTGGAAGTAATGCTAAAATCACGAACTGGTTGAAGTTAGAATTCATGCGTTGGCTATTGAGTTGCGTCCCAGTGGCTGAATAGTCTAAGAACTTTCCTAGTATCTAGAAGGTTCTGGGTTCAAAATCTGGCGGGTGAGTACTGCCGACGTGTCCCAAACTAGGCTGACGAAACAGATGTCCAGTACTCCATGATCTTTTATGGTTCTCTAACTGATATCACTCAGCTACAGAGCTTGAAACAAATCTCCGCATAGAAACTCTTTAAAAATAAGCGATTTCACCTAGGGAAGGGATGGAAAAGTAGGAATTAGATTTCAAGTCTTTAAACACCAGTGAAAGATTGTAATGTATGTTTTCTCAACTGCTTAAGGGATCCGCATTGACAAAGTTGGACAGCAGTGGCACTAAGGGGAAAATCACTGGGTTTTAGAAATCAGAGAACGCTAGATTTTCGCTGACACACTGAATGGATTTCAAAGGTCAGTTGTTTCAAAAATTGACAATCGTAGGCCTGTAGAATAGCACTACTGACGACGACTAAACTGGGACGAAACAACAGTGCATTATGCTCTAGTTTGCGGTGACTTTCCTGTCTTATTTTTTCAGGTGTTAGTTTCCAGGGTTTCCATTGGTTACAGGTTTAACTGTGAACTGACATCAGTTAAAGAACGGATGGAGCACCATGGGGTACTGGACAGCTGTTTCTCCCTGGCTTGGGACTCTTTGTCAGTACTCTCCGTCTGGGTTTCGAAGCCACCACTGGCTCTATGCAGGGAGTTACTTTGAGTTCTAGTGAGAAGTCGTGGTCTGGGGGGTCCACCATGTCAGATAGGAGAACAGTGACTCACTGACGACATCGACTGGAGATTGCGCCATATATATATCTGAAGACTGACAGAAGCTAGAATTCATGAGCCACTGAAGTGGGTCACAGAAGCTGAATGGTTCACAAGCTCTCCTTGTAACACAGGGGCCCTCAGCCATATCCCTGGCGGGTGTGTCCTAATGAAGGATCCCATGCTAGGATGAAACATGCCTTTACAGCCAATCACGTTGTGGACAAGGTTCATCAAGGCGCTGGTATGTTCTAGTGGTCAAACAGTGTGTTTTGTTATCGAGAGTTTAAATTGGCATTTCATTTCTAAATGAAGGCATGTAACTAAGTAATCTACAGATAAGATACAAAACGCAGACTTTGTGCTTCATCCACTCCTAATAAGCTATTGACTGAATAACTAATGTCGAATGATCCGTGTTTATTTTTATCCTCAATTATTTTGAATTTGAAGACTGCAGGACCCAGTCTAAGTAAGAGACGAGGTGGGACGTATCTTCCTTTAGGATACAATAAATGTATGATATTTAAATTCTGGGTATGACGAGATGCGATTAGTTTCAATGTAGATCCGTTAATAAACCAACATCATTTAGAGAGTGATTGAAAATCAATTCGTGATCAGTAGGATCCGCCGAGACGAGTATGAAAATAGATGCTCGCGGATGACATTGGAAAGCAGTGGTGTACGACCGCCGGCTGACAGAAGGGACTAGCTGGTGAATGAGTTCAGTTCAGAAACCTCAGAGTCTCGAGTTTAATCCCTAGCGACGTCATGGGTGCATGGCGCTGAAGGGGCCGAAGTAGGACGAAGCCACTGACGCCTTCATTCTGGTTTCTGATGTTGGTTAGTGACGAAATTTACCATGATGTCAAAAGATTGCCTGCCGTGCGCAAAAGACAAAAACTGAGAACAATCTTATACACTATTCACCAATTCAAATATTTTCTTGTCCGATAACGTGTTCCAATCGCATTTTTCCGTGAACAAGCAGACCAAGGTGTATACTGATATGCCGATTGATATCTTCCTATTCTCTCAGATTGCACATCAATACATTTACCATGGTAACATTCCTATAAAGGTAAAGAAAGATAAAATGAAACAATAGTTTTGAAAAAAATTATAAAATCCGATTAAAATTCTACATTGCTGGTGTTCCTTTAATTTCCGAATGAAACATAAGGAGGGCTTCAACGGCATATCTCCTCTGTAGCTGGCTCCATTACTTCTCATAAGCTCTTATCTCCCACTCACACAATCTCCTACATGCCATCCTTGGAACCAGACCCAACTAGTTTGTTTCGTATTCGAGTTCCACTCGAGGGCCTGCTTTGTCTGTGATGTGTCCGATAGATCTGTAATTCTGTCGGCATATTCATTGGTAAGTAAGTTACTGGTTAGTTAGTTCCCAGAGTTCCTTGTTATTAATGCTTCCTAATCACCTGATCTTTAGTATGGAGCCAAGACAGTTGCTGATAAAGGTCTGAAGCCACTTCGAAATGCCAATTCTCTGAACCGTATAGAACCACTGCTTTCGCATTAGTGTTGAAAATCCGAATATTGTTCCTTATGCTTGGTACAGCATACTTTCACACTAATTTCAAATTAGTGAGGGAGTGTCTTGTTTTTCCATTCCTGTCTTTGACATCCCTCCGTCTCTGTGCCGCCCCATATTTTTCAAACGATGCTGTTTGACAAGCTAAAGAGATGACCTCGTTCCACTTCCTCCCGCTGTTAGTGATTGATGCTTGTTGCCGTTAATTGGGTGTCTTAGTCACCTATTCTCCTCCTCCCTTCACTTGAATCCTTGTCGCCGCTACTTCTGCTGCCAACTTGTTGTTTTCATGTTTTCTCGCTGTCGACGACCTACTGCAAAATCCAGTCCACCGCAGTCAGGGATATGGTGGACTGACGTACTTCAATGCACAGAGAAGAGTAACCTCGCCTAATTTACTATCTGATCTGAAACCAGGAAAAGAAGGAAGGCCAGGAGTGCAGCAAGAAACATCGCCTCAGAAAAACAACCTCACACCTACTAAGTGTATTCTTCTCTGAATTTGGGAAGGTGAAGTGACGCAAGCTGGTGAAAGTCAGCCACCCGACTTATCTTCTCTTGATGAAATCGACAGTCCTCTCGTGGACATAGATTATTCGCAGCACATCTGAGATTGGCTGAGCTGTGCAAATAGCAGATGAAACAAAAGACTTAGTATTCTGTATAGCAACCAAGTAATATTGTTTCAAATCTTATAGTTGCTGAACAGTTAAGATAGGTAACTAGTATGGAAGTTTACCGCTCAGATATTACCTTTATTCTGTTTATGCGCAGGTCAACACTTAGAATGTCACATGACTTGCCAACTACCCTTGTGCAAGCAAGCACCCACTACCTTGAGCTAGTCTTTTTTCTGCTACTGTGTCAATATATGCATATATATAATGCACTTCATGTAACCACTTACCTTCTTTTTACCGCATGGGGTACCGTCCAGCAGGCCATGATTTAACATTCGATCACAATGATCTTTTGAACCTGTCATGGAACACCATAACTCTTGACATGCATGTTCTTCAACCTTTTTGATTTAAAAAAATAAGAATATGTTAGAAAATTTTGAAAAAAAAATTATTTTGAAAATCAAAATGAGCGACTTAAATCAATATCTGACAAAGGTTATCTGCCATCACTTTGAACTGGTCTCACTGTTAGCTGGAAGCTCACAATTCCTTTTCAGACAATCTTCTCTCAAGCAGGCCGAACGATGGACTACCCTTTGAGGTCCCCTCCTCGATGCCCTTATTGGTATGTAATGTCGGTCAAAAGTCTTCTCGGAGTACATTGAGTCCTTCAGCATTTCCTTCTGCCTATCTGTTTGGGTAATAGGTCCTCCGCTAGTTCATTGCCTGATAAAATTCCTTGTTGTATATCCTTTCGCGTTAATCATTCGATATCCATTATGGCGTTGCGGCAGGTGTTCATAAGAGTCTTCATTAGCCTGTTGGGAAAGCTTCTGGTGAAACCTGATAGAAGTCTTTGAACTATGCAGAAACTCTGACTTGAAGTCAGTGTTGAAAATTTGGATCTTCACCGGCTCTTTCCTCGCTGTGTTCACCCGAAGTCCCTTCCTGACTACTTCTTCCAAACTTTGGGTTCTCTTCTGTGTATTTCCGATTGTATGCGATATATGGCATAAATTATCTGTGGAGTCAAGATCCTCCAGAGTCTCTGTGTGGGTCCAACACATGCCCATCCTTCTCACTCCTTAAGGTCTACTTCATGAGTCATTCTACCACAGTCAAGAAGACCATCAGTGGTAATAGGCGGCATATTAATCATGTAATGACAGAAGACAAGGGCCAGGCAACGGATCTTTTATTGAGAAAATCAACAGATATTTATAGATTTCTATGTACATTATTATTAGCGTTATTGTTAGCAGAGAGGTAACGCCTTCTGATTGGTTGTTTTCCTGTTGAAGGTTATTCTGTCATCTCTTTCTTGTAGTTTCTTAGACAATCCGGTAATATATCTGCGAATCGTATCCGCCCACGTAAAGTCTGCTGTGATTGATTTGTGTGTAAAACTTGGGCACTGTGGTAGTAAGTAATTCCATATTAGTTTGTTTATTAGATGCCTCATTTATATACATACATACATGAGTGAAATTGATTAGACATTTGAACAAAAATCAACATAGGATAATAAAGTCAGGAAAGGGAACTTCCAATGTTAGATTGTAGCGTAAAAAGGAGAGAAGATGGGAAGTTAAACACTCTAGTGTGTGTTTACAGGAAACCCACCTGCATATTTAAACAGATATTTCGACTTCCGATCATCCCATTCTATGTCAGTGAAAATAGGATTGGTGAAATGCTTGGGTAATAGAGCACAAAAACTATGTAGTACCAAGGAAAATCTAAGACAGGAATCGAGGTACATAAGAGAAGCTTTGAAACTTAATAATTACCCTGATAAATTAGTCAAAAATTATATAGGGAAATGTAAAAATATAATAAATCATGATAGTAGTGGTAGTGATAATAGTAATATTAATGACGACATGCATGTCAAATATGCGCAAGATAATGTCAACACCAACAATAAAGAATCTAAATCATCAGTGGTAATTCCATACAAGGAAGGAACATCGCAAGCCTTACACAGAATTCTTAACAAGGCAGGAATAAAAACGGCATTCAAGCCCACAAACTCAATTAGAAACATGCTTTGTCGGTTAAAGGATCAATCCTGTGGAGCCCTTAAAACAAAACAATTTAGTTTATTTAAACCATGCCTGCACTGATTGTCAGGTCAAATACATAGGTTAAATTAGTAGAACAGGGGCAATCATACTAGCCGAACATAAAAACATAGCAGCAAAATCTACATTATTATTATTATTGCTCCCTTTGGCTCCTAGTGGAACATAGCGGTTCAACTGCACGTCACCACTTGCTTCTGTCTTCTGCTGTACTTTTCACCTGCATCCATGTTAATCCATACTGTTTCAATTTCTCTTCACACGATCTCCTCCATGTCACCCTTCAACGTCCCACTCAACCCCTTCCCTTTCGGGTTCCACTCGAGCACTGGCCTGACGCGCAACGTCACGTAACCGCCTCCTCAGCGAATGTCCAATCCATCTCCACTTTCTCCTGCATATTTGTTGAGCGATTGGTTCTTGTTTTGTTTGTTCCCATAGTTTCTTGTTGGTGATTCTTTCCGGTCACTTGATCTTGAGTATAGAGCGGAGACAGTTGTTGATAAAGGTCTGCAACAGGCTGTTGCAAATATTCCTTGTGACCCGCCAAGTTTCTGATCCGTATAGAAGAATTGACTGACTTGACATTTTTATTGAAAAACCGAATCATTTTGTTGTTGATGCTGAGTGAGTGACAGCGGAAGATTTCCAGATTGGTTTCAGGTTGATGAATGTGTTTTTCGCCAGCCGATTCTCGATTTGACATCCCCGTCCGTTCCTCCTGTAGTTGAGACAATGCTGGTTGCCTAGATAAGTGAAAGAAGTAACCTCTTTCAAATCCCTCCCGTTGATGGTGATTGGCGCTGGATGTTGTTGCTGCTGTTCTTGTTGTTAGTTGGTTATTTTCATAACCTCGGTCTGGTCTATGTTCACCTGCAGTCCTGTCTTCTCTGGCTGCTTCTTCGACCAGTTTGTCGGTTTTTGCTTGTAATTCTTCGATTTTGTGTGACATCAAACATAAATCATCCCCGCGCGAAATCCAGGTCTTCTAGGTTCTTCACGTCGGTGGTCCAGGATATCCCTGTCTTCTCGTTTCCCACTGTCTGACGCATAATCCAGTCCACCACAATTAGGAATATCATTGGTGATAGTAAGCACCCTTGTCTGACTCCTGTGTTTACTCCAAACGCTTCGCTGAGTTTTCCGTTGTGGATCACTTGACATGTGCCGTTGTCGTACAGCTGTTGAATAAGGTTGATGAATATTTGGGGCATGGCGTAGTACTCGAGTAATTTCCAAATTACTTGGCGGTCAACGCTGTCGAAGGCCTTCTCAAAGTCTATAAAGTTGAGGCAGAGGTTTGATTGCCATTCCATGCTTTGTTCAATGATGATGCGTAGAGTTCCAATTTGGTCAGAACATGATTTGCCTTTCCTGAATCCAGCTTGTTCTGGTTGGAGTTCTGTATCCAGTGCGTTCTTGATTCTCTCCAGGATGATGCGACTCAGGATTTTACTTGGCGTTGACAGGAGCATGATTCCTCGCCAGTTCTTGCAGAGTCCTAAGTCGCCCTTCTTTGGTAGTTTCACCAGGTAACCTTTCCTCCAGTCAGTTGATCCAAATAAGATAAGAAATCTAGAGAATCGTTCAGCTATACCACTCACTATCTGCAATTACACACAACCATACAATACGATGGGATGAGATGTCATTTTTAAAATCTAATGTCACAGAGTGGAGGGAGAGATTGATAACAGAAGATTTGTTTAAAGAATCAACTGCAAATCAACACGTGTAATAGGAGTGATTCAACACCTGTCCATCCAGATATCTGGAAAATTCTACTACCCCAACGACGACAAACAGGAGAAGACAAAGAAAACTATAAAACTCAAGTTTCGAAATCATGTGATTATAATTGATGAAATGTTTATAAACCATAAATTTTGGTTCAAAACGTCATCCCGTGAATAATACTGTTTCACTGTGTGATACATCTTATAAACAAAGTAATATGGAATCTACTGTGATTGGTTGTTGAGTTAGTCTTTGTTTTTGTTTTTTTCTCATGACCAAAATTTGCGACGTAAACACTGACGTAAATTACTGTCTACTAATTTTGGCTAGCAGGCAGCTCTCACCACAATCATATCTTCGAATTTAAGAATGATGAACCACACTGGTTTGAGGCTTGAAAAAAATATGAATTTTGCAGGAAATGAAGGATAATTCAGCCAAGAATAATTTCTTTATCGACGAAATCATCTTCAGAGGCTGTACAATCTCATTTATATTTGCCGAAGACACGTATAGTAGTCCATTACTGAGTGATAAGGGGGCTCACATAATTGATATACTTACTCGTAGGTGGCTTTAGAAGTAAAAATAAAAGTTATAAATTACGTAATACTTAACGGCACAGGGGAGGAAGGCGTTAGAAATCTGATAAGGTTAAAATCGTTACGGAGTGAGAAGAAAGGTAGCCGAGCTTCCTGTTTAACAAGAATGAATAGGGTGTGGGAACTGAATGGCCACTACAGGAGTTTTCATAGTTGGTTTCCCTTGAGCAGAAGGAGGAATCTGATCCAGTTCTAATCTTCACGAATAAGAAGGATATGCATCAGTGATACAATCGATGGTGAACTGGAGAGGCTCAGATAATTCCTGATGGAGAATGGATCTACTTCAAGATTCATCGAGGAAAACATGAAACTGAAGCAAAAGTTCGAAAGAATCCAGACGGTGCTGGCGGAACTGCTGTTCATGAACGCTGGATTTAAACGTGATACCGCAGCTGAGATTCTGAAGAACTGCTTATCCAGATCACTGAGAAAAGCCTTGTTTACGGCAGAGGTACAGATCAGTTTTCATTATTATTATTGTTTCCTTTAATTCCTAGAGGAATAGACGGCTTCAGCCGTGCGTCTCCATTGCGTTCGGTTCTCTGCTACAGTCTTCACCTGGCTCCATGTCTACCCACACGTTTTCATCTCCTCTTCACATCACCTCCTCCAAGTCACCCTTGCACTGACGATCAACTCGCCGCCGCTTCCGTTTCGGCCGAGTTCCACTCGAGCAATGGCTTGTCTAGTGATGTCACTTGATGGTTTGTTTCCTCAGAGTATGGCCAGCCAATCCATCTCCATTTCTTCCTGCCTATTTGTTTCACAATCGGTTCCTGGTTGATTCGCTCCCAGAAATCCCTGTTGCTGATCTTTCCTGGCCGGCCATCTGATCTCGAGTAGTATTGAGCGAGGACAGCTGTTAATGAAGGTCTGTAGTTTGTTTGAGATGCTCTTTATGACGTGCAGTGCAAGTCTCTGATCCGTATAGTAAGTAGCACTGACTGACTTCACATTTGAGTTGAATATCCGGATCTTATTTTTGATGCTGAGTGCTGTTGACCCCCACACAGACTTGAGAGTAGTGAAAGCTTGTCTTGCTTTTCCGATTCTTGCTTTGATATCCTCGTCAGTTCTGTCTGCCTGTAGTTGAAACGATGTTTCCCAGGTAGGTAAAAGAGGTTGTTTCTTCCTGGTGCCTCCCATTTATGCTGATTGTTGTCTGTTGTTGTTGTTCTTGCCCAGGAATCTTCACTATCTCTGTTTTCTCTATGTTCACCTGAAATCCTATCTCTGATGCTTCTTCTATCGCCAACTTGTTACTTTTCATCACTTGCATATCTTCCAGTTTGTGGGAAATTAGACATATGTCATCGGTGAAGTCCAGATCCTCCAAGTTCTTTGTAAAAGTGAGTCCATTTTATGCCTGCTTCCTCATTGCCCACCGCTGTCTGTCGCATTATCCAATCTACTGCAATCAGGAAAATCATTGGTGATAGTAGGTAGCCAGCTTATCTTACTCCTGTCCTCGTTTCTAAGGATTCCGTAAGTTTCCCGTTGTGGATTACTTGGCATTCAGTATTGTCGTACGGCTGTTGGATGAGATGTATGATTGTTGGTGGCACCCCATAGTAGCGAAGCAGTTGCCAAAGTACCTCTCGATCGACGCTGTCGAAGGCCTTTTCAAAGTTCAGATCAATTTTTACAGACGACAAATGACGTAATGTAATATAGTGAGAGTGACTTTATTGTAGTGTGACTAGCCAAAATAAAATTCAGACGGTATAACCAATGATCGGGAAATGTACTCATTACAAGCATTCACATAACTCCAGAATTTTTGGCTTCTGTATAAAGTCATTGACTGATGAAGTCAGTTAGTTTAGCGATGGAAACTAAATCTAGTGAAATATTAAACAGTTTTCATCACTTTTAAGTGCAAAATAGTGATGTCAAGACTTCAAATTTCTACAATAAATTCTAAAGTGGTTTAATAATAATAATAATCACTTTATTCCACAACAATAACAATTTACAGCATGGAATTTTCAGCGTTTCTTTTACATATTGCAATGGTTTAGCTCTTTTTGTAATTATATAAATGTATAAAATGTTAAAATATTGGTAGTTAATAGGAAAAATGAAAACCCCAACAAAATCACACCATTTCTAGGTCATAGTGAATAATAAATAAATAATATAGCAAATAACACATGCAATAATATGCATCATTACATTTTATAGTTTAGTTAATGATTTAAAAGTTGTAAAAGTTCTTTTCTGATATTTGTCTCTTCACACAATACTCGTGCCAAAATATGGTACGGTTGAATTTTTATATTTTGTAGTACGAGCATAAATATTTATGAAATTTCTTCTGGTCTTACCCGAAGAGATGCAAGGAAACAATTGTGAATAAAGAGGATGTTCACTATCAGACAAAATAACTTTAGCTAAGTGTTTACAAGAATTCATATGCCTATTGACAACAGTGTCAGTTAGTTGAGTCAAAGGGATAGCACTGACCCTACTTACAGCCTTCAATGTTCTTCATAGTATTATATGGTCTTTCTTGAGTAGCCCAGGGAAGAATAATGGAGAACAATAAAGAATGATGGGCAAAACACATGGATTAATAAATTGTATGAGAAGAAGTTGGGTTATACCTGAGTGCCTCAACTTCTTTATGTAATAAGTCAGACAGAAAATCTTCTTAGAAACTATAAGAAGATGAGACGACCAGCAAAGGTTTGAAGAGAAACTAATGCCAAGATAAGAAACACTTGACTTACTCTCTATCATGGTACCATCAATATTACAAAAATCATGAGACTGGATCAATCCATGCATGTCTTTTTCACTTCTCAAGCTGAAATCAACAGTATTACATTTAGTTGGATTTAGTTTAAGACCATTTGAGCCAGACCAATCCTTAACTTCAGCTAAGAAGCCATTCATATGGGAACAATCCGATGTGGAAACTACAGGGACAGAAACGGTCAGATCATCAGCATACTTAATGAAGTTAACTTTGGGTGAGTTCGGAAGGTCATGCAAAAGGAAAGAGAAAAGAAATGGAGAAAGTACTGCACCTTGAGGCACACCACTTTCAGTGAGCTGAGAAGTGGAGCACTTTACAGACAAAACAGTATGCTGTTTCCTATCCTTAAAATAAGAAGACAGCCATCTAGTTGCCCAGGCCTCTGTTTGTGCTGAAATCATCTTTCCTAATAAAAGTGTCCTAGGAACAGAGTCGAAAGCTGCAGTTGTACTTCAAGAGTGGCGCTTCTATGAGGAAAATCGTCTACTCACTTACTAATAAGGATCAACTAGGCTCAATAATAGTCAGGTGATTTACACATACTAGCAGATCAGTAAAAGTGATCGAGAAAGACCCCAAAAACACATCAATATATGCAAAATTAACCAGTCAGAATTAAAGTGCAAATACAAGAGACTATGAAGGCACTATATATATTGACGACGCAGTAAATGGAAAACTTTATAGACTTGCAGAAGGCCTTCAACAGCGTTGACCGCGAAGTAATTTGGAAACTACTCGAGTACTACGGCGTACCCCAAATAATCAACAGCTCTACGACAACGACACATGTCAAGTGATCCACAACGGAAAACTCAACGCGGCGTTTGGAGTAAACACAGGAGTCATACAAGGGTGCTTATTATCACCAATGATATTCCTAATTGTGGTGGACTGGATTATGTGTCAGACAGTGGGAAACAAGAAGACAGGGATATCCTGGACCGATGTGAAGAACCCAGAAGACCTGGATTTCGCGGATGATTTGTGTTTGATGTCACACAAAATCGAAGAATTATTAGCGAAAACCGATAAACTAGTCGAAGAAGCAGCAAAGACAGGACTGCAGGTGAACATAGACAAGACGGAAGTTATGGAAATAACCAACCAACAACAACAACAACAGCAGCAGCAACATCCAGCGCCAATCACCATCAACGGGAGGGATTTGAAAGAGGTTACTTCTTTCACTTATCTAGGCAACCAGCATTGTCTCAACTACAGGAGGAACGGACGAGGATGACAAATCGAGAATCAGGAAGGCGAGAAACACATTCATCAACCTGAAACCAATCTGGAAATCTTCGTCACTCAGCATCAATAACAAAATTCAGATTTTCAATACAAACGTCAAGTCAGTCAGTTCTTCTATACGGATGGATCAGAAACTTGGCGGGTCACAAAGAATATTTCCAACAGCCTGTTGCAGACCGTTATCAACAACTGTCTTCGCTATATACTTAAGATCAGATGGCCGGAAAGAATCACCAACAAGAAACTATGAGAACAAACAAAACAAGAACCAATCGCCCAAAATATATGCAGGAGAAAGTGGAGATGGATTGGACACTCGCTGAGGAGGCCGCTGGGTGACATCGCGCGTCAGGCCAACGCTAAAGTGGAAGCTGAAGGGGAAGCGGCGAGTGGGATGTCCAAGTGTGACATGGAGGAGATCGTGTGAAGAGGAATTGAAACAGTATGGACTAACATGGATGTAGGTGAAAAGTACAGCAGAAGACAGAAGAAAGTAGTGTAGTTGAAGCGCTATGTTCCACTAGGAACCCAAGGGAACAATAATAATAATAATAAATGGAAGACGACAGGGAGTAACTCTCAAGCATGAAATTTGATAGACAAGCGCAATGTATATTCAACAATCTGTCATCCCCAGTTACAAAACTTACTCCAGGACAATGTCGGCTAACATTTGATCCAGAGATAACGAAACATTGTTGATCAAGTGACCATTTCCAACCAGGCAGATCAGATGTTATATATTCTCGTTTAAATATTGGAAAGTCATGAAGACAAGTGAATTTCTGCGATCTGGTTGTTTTTTTTAAATGCATGGAATTAAAAGAAAGGTGAAAGTTATTGGAATTATAAAATAATGGTAATAAAGTTCAGCAAGTATTTTCTTGTTCACTGCACGTGTTTGCAACCGAAATGACTCCAATAAACGACCTGGTCTTCTTCTCGATATGCCTTCATTTAGCCAGGAATTCGTAGCCTTTGCCAGCTGAATCTTATTCACTACCTTCATGTGGAGGCCACGGCGTTCCTCATAAAGTGAAAGGGCAAGTGAGAAAGTCTGGCACTTACAACCAGATTGGTGGACATGCTAGTTTACCCAGGGGAGTTGAAAAACTCTGATTTCAAACTTATCATGTACATAGCCTCCAGAGTCCGAATGGAGTCAGTGGTGTGTGAACCTGTTTGGTCCGCGATAGCCAAGGGAATGCAGCGCATGACACTGCTCCGCTACCTTGTAGTTTGGACTTCATGTTCAAGACTGTCGAGATGGCCCCCCTCAGAGACAATCAGTTGCTTCGGTCTGGGCCTCCGGGAAGTATCACAACCCTCGCACAAACTTTGAAACTTTACTTAGCGCATCTCTCGGTACCCGACATGTACCAAGTTTGTGCTTTATTAAAGTAAATAAGATAATGTAAGCTAAACATACAAAATGAAGCTTAATAGCACCGCTTGGTTAGCGAAGAGTTGATAAAACTAAGGGGGTCGAATATGAAGTTGGAAAACGGACCAATCGAAGGCCTACACATGTTAGTTTAGATAAAGGAGCTATATACGTTCGGTGTGCCTTCCTTGATTACACATCTGCATTTGACTCTGTACCTAGGTGTCTCTTGCTAAGTAAACTTTCTGCAACACAGGCTGAGAGCTGGACAAATAAGTGGTTGCATTCCCATTTTTCTGATAGGAAGCAGTACACCGTCTACAATGGAAAGTCCTCCACTACCTCACTTACTTTAGGTGGTGTTCCTAAAGGTGCTGTTCTTTCTCCTTTTTTCTGTTTTCTTTTTTCTTACATGACTCGCCCCATTCTGATGTAGCCATTTTTGTTAAATATGCTGATGACCTCTCTGTTTCCATGCCTGTCAACTCTCAGTCAGATTGTCCCAAATTAGTCAGTGGTCCTCTTCAGACGGTCTTAAGCTGAATCCGTCTAAATATCAGGTAGTCAATTTCACCTTCAGACGAAAACGTGACCTACAACAACTAGCTAGCTCATATGGCCCCACTATTATTGACGGCATAGAGGTTGAAATTACATCTAATGTCAAGTACCTTGAACTGAGTATTTCCTCCGATCTTTCCTGGTCCTCTCACATCTTGCTAGTTACTAGAAAGATGTTTCGCCTAACGTTCTACGTTAGGAAGTTAAGGCAGTCTGGTATAAAGCAGTCTCTGCTTTCTCAGTTTGTCAATTCTTGTATTCTAACCATCCCTCTTTACTGCTCCCCATTAATCTTTCCTGGATTACTTAAGAAAGATTTTGCTTTGCTGAGAAGGGCACTACAAGCTGTTAGTAGGGGAAGTGGGATTTCGTTAAACCAACTGGTTAATGCTATTGTGGATAGACATATAATGTCATGTAAGAAACTAGCGAATACTGTATTGTCAGACCCCGAACACCCTCTCTATGCGCAGCTCTCTCCGTGCATTTCATCTGGTAGAAATAGAAGCAGCTATAGGAGGAGGCTATATGCTAGGACTACCAAGTACAGAAACTCCACAATACCTTATCTGGCACAGCTGTTATGTGATGAGAAATCCGTTAGGTATGACACGATCAACTACTTACTGCGGCACTCTAACAAATAGTTCCTATTAGTTTTTGTTTTCCTTTCTTCGTTACTATTATATTGTTGTTCACATCTTCTATTACAGACTCATTTTATATTTCATATCCTGTGGTGCATTGTTTAAATATGTAAACGTAACGCTGTTCTTTTTTATTTTTTGGTCATTGCTTCTGATCTTAAAATCTTATAACATTTATGAGGTAATTAGATGCAATATTGTAATGCACGCTGAAAATTCCATACATTTACCACAAATACTGTTTGGAATAAAGCTGTTATTATCATTATTATTAACTCTGACTAACAGAAAGCCAATAGATTCAATCCTTCGTAAAATGCTTAATATCTTAGGTCAGAATTGTGTGCCACGCTAGCCTACTGCTGTTCGATATAAATACAACCTCCTGAGTGTGTGTATTCCGCATTAATTAACTACTTTTAAGTAAAGCAACTAGACATTGTTTAACTTTGTTGGTGGGCAGTCAAAATTCGTGGGCAGCCGTGCTTATAACTGTTGATATGTAGTCCCGATATAGCTGTCATAGCCATGAAATGTAATTTTAAAAAGCCTAAGTTAAACAATAGCCACCAAGAAGGATGATGTAACGCTAACCTACAAAACAGGGAGGCCGGATAGATAACACCATACTTATAGGAAAATGCTGAAAGAAATATACGAATATTAAACAACATATCCGGTAGGGGAAAGACCGGATTTCAGTTAAGGATTGTATTAGGGTCACTGGTGCTTCCATCCCCCTGAGTGTCTATCCTTTAACTTTAAAATTAGTTTTAACTTAAGAAATCTTGATTAAAAGTTGAGTATTCAATTGAATGATCTTGAGAAGCCTCCCCTAGAAAAGGACTTTGCCAACAAGCAAACATCACTTACAGAACCACTGAGAACCAGCGAATGTTGAATGGCCATTCCCTCCTAGTTGAGGATTCCTCAGCTGTGTTCTCCAATGGCCTCACGGGAATCCAAAGTCAGAGTCTTCAGATTACAAGGCATGTTTGCTACAACCCAACCACTAGATAAGTAAGCTGTTAGCCTCATAATCTCGCATTCCTGAGTGTGACAACAGACGAGTTCAGCGTTGTACGAAGCCAAACATTTTCAAACTAGAACAAAATATTTTTTCACAGGTCTCTCTCTAACCTTACTTCTATCCACTATCCATCAAAATGGCAGTATTGTGAAACAACATGAAGTTTTAATTGATTTTTTTTACAAATAATAGCAACTTACTCAAGACCATTTTGAAGTACCAATCGTGTACAATCACTCCAATGATGATTATGTCCTGCAGATAGAATTAATGGTGCCATTATATTTCCTGTTGTACCGGAACGATCGCAACTATTCCCTTCACCATCATGTTCAACACCAAGACTGAAGGCAAAAAAAGGGGAAATATCAGGTATGAGTAAATGTTTTTTTGTTTATTTAACAGTTCGGTTTAAACAGTCAAGTGAATGGCTGGGTCATGGGTCAACAGTAAAGAATAGACACCAAAGAGTTGAACGATATACAGTCAACCAATCATATCGCTGTTCAGCATTACAGCTGGAGGCTTTTCATAATCTCTGTAACAAGTTTCACCCTAATTCACGGTTAAGATTAGGGTAGGTTTAAGGTAGGGTAATGATTAAAGTTAAAGTGAAACTTGCAGTGAAGACTATAGAAGTACCCATTTGTTATGCTGAGCAGCGACTTGATTGGTTGATTCAAGATCATCTGACTTTAGTCCCTATTCTTTACTGTTGCCTGTCACTGATTTTAAAGTTCTGAGGATCGTAATTCATTATTTCAAACCTGTATTTAGTCAGTGAAAAATCCATATTTTCAATTTCATTTTCAGTGTTTCGGAGATTTTCAAGTATCAGTTAGTATGGATTTGGTTGCTGTGATGAAGTTTGACCACGAAATGACTTTAGTTTAAGAATCAATTGAAAACAAGGGACTACTCAACGCCTGCTTCGTCCCAGCTCAAGACTTCTCGTCAGTGCTTACCCATTAACCCCTCAATCCCTACCAGAGGTCGAACACAAAATCTTTGGGCTCATGAGTGATTTCGTTGACTGTTTAGCCATTGAGGCAGAATCCAACGGCCCAGTGGTACTTCCATACAAGGAAGGAACCTCGGAAAGCTTACGCAGAATTCTTAAGAACATAGGCAGGAATAAAAGTGGCCGGCATTCAAACCCACAAACTCAATTCGAAACAAGCTTTGTCGGTTGAAGGATCCTGCCAGAGGAGCCAATTAAACAAAACAATTTAGTTTATCTAATACCCTGATGGAATGATTTTCAGGTCAAATACAGAGGTCAAAGTAGTAGAACAGGTGCAGCCAGTCAGACTAGCCGAGCATAAGAACCTAGCAGAAAAATCTAGATTATTTGACCCGAATAAGATAAGAAACTCAGAGAATAGTTCAGCTATAGAACTCACTACATGCAGTTATACACAACCATACCATAGAATAGGATGGGTGGGATAAAACGACAGTTTTAAAATCTAATGTAACAGCATGGTGGAGGGAGAGATTGATAACAGAAGCTTTGTTTATCGAATCAACTGCAAATCAACACGTGTAACAGGAATGATTCAACACCTGTCTACCCGGACATCTGGAAAATTCTACTACCACATTGCTGACAAATAGGAGAGGACAAAGAAAATTACAAAACTCAAGTTTCGAATTCGTGTGATTATAATTGATGATATGATTATGAACAGTGATAAATTATGTTCGAAACTGTGTCATCCAGTAAATAATACTGTTTCACACTGTGTGATACATCTAATAAACAAACTACCACAGTGCCCAAGTTTTACACATATATTATTATAAGTTTCAACTGTATATTTAATAAAAATTGGCGGTATTTTAAGTCTCTCTCATATTTTACAGGTTAAGGATTCGTCATTAGTGACATTATGCTACTAAATGATATTCTGTGTTATTCAAGTGTTGGTTTGTGGGTATTCGATTTGTTACAGGATTTCATCATGAGCTGACATTGGTTAGAGAACCATTGGAAAACCAGCACTGGAGTACTGAACAGCTGTTTCGTCCTAGTTTGCGATTCATCACTGCACACCCACTCTGTGGGATTCGAACGCAGTATCTTCCAGTTACAAGGCGAGCGAGCTGGTAAACCATTAGGCCAGTGGAATCATGATCTAACGGATCCAATGGCCCATGAATTGCAGCTTTTGCCAATTCAAAATATAGCGCGACTGGTACTAACTAATGTCATTGGTGAGTATTTGTCTTAACGCCCGACCTGCCATACCCCACTGGTCACGAGATGAAACCGGAAGGTCCTGGGTTCAGACCTTTCCCTGTGGGTGCGTATTGATAAAGAGTCACCTCCAAACTAAGACGAAACAGCTGTCCAGTACTCCCTGGCTGGTTTTCCAGTGGTTCTCTAACCGATGTCAGCTCATGATGAAATCCTGTAACCCTGGGTTACATTGTTTATCGATTCATTGTAAAACTCAGAATCTATACACACTCAAGATCTCCATCCAAGTTGATAAGTAATGAGATAAACAAAACAAGGGAAGAAATAAGGTCTCCTGTCCACCAGCTCTAACCACTTACCATCAGCAATGAATAATCTAAATCAGTGTTCTAACTTTCAGCATTGTTTCAACCAAAGGCGGCAGGAATGAGGGTGTGAAAAACAGGTTTGGAAAAGCAAGATATACACTCGTTTCTCCAAAATTGATGTGGAAATCTGCTGTGATAAGTATAGAGAACAGGATTCGGATCTTTCACTCTAATATCAAGTAAGTGCTTCTGTATGGTTGAGGAACTTGGCGCATCACCAAAAGTATTTCCAAGAGTCTACTACAAAATTTCACCAACAATTGGATGGCTAACTAGAATGGAAAAGCAATAGGCGACTCTGGGAATGAACCGGTGGTCAAGGGCCTATTTCCAACAAATATACCAAAGGAAATGTTGGTGGATAGGATGCACACTTCAGGAGACCGTTGGATGATATCACACACAAGACAGGCCACTGAGTAGAACCCAAATGGGAAGCGATGAATTGGGCATCGCTTCGAGGGCAACATAGAGGAGACTAGAGGTTATGGATAATTGTGCGGCCTGCTAAAGAAGTCTGCAGAGGACGCGATGATAGACTAGAAAAGAAATAAAAGATTTTTATTTAGTTTATAACGCTGCCCAGTGGCTCAAGCCTGGTGGGGTTTCGAACGCATAACCTGTTGTACACAGTCTCTTAACTCAAACATGTAAATGAATATTTTTTTGTTGTTGCTTTATTTGCAGTGTAGATTTTTGGTTACCTGTGCATAATTTCATGCGCAATTGGATAAGCAGAGAAGAATCCACTGTCTTCTGCCAGTGTACACGAATACTGCATTCGACACATTTGACTAAGCGGAGATATACCTATTGTGATTAGGTGAAAAATACAAGTAACATAATAATTACGTATGTGAGAGGCAGTATGACAGAATTATTAAAATTTTTAATATTTATAATGTATATAATTGTTAACTGATTAAAAGTGCCCATTAAAATTTTCAAAAGAATAGACACTGAACAAAGCGTACTCTTTTCGATAACGCCTTCATCATCAGGCTCTACAATTGAATATACATTATAATGAATGAATGAATTAGTGTTATGAACAACATTAATGTTGCTGTTTAAATGACATCGAATCAATAATATTGATAGATTACAGCTGAACAGCATCAACATAACAATAAACTGAATTTCAGAAAAATGAGGAAAGATAATATTACAAATTCATGAGTTTATAGATTCTACTGAAGGCCAGGGCAGTAGAAGGGGCTGGACTTGCTTCTTCTGAACACAGAGCACTGGTTGTTTGAAGCGAATTGCAATAGCCTCTGCTGTTTGGAGCATGTGGTGCTTCGATGATTTTACCAATTTATTAGGCACCCGGTAGATTATAGAGAAGGATTCTTCAAAGGTGGCTGGCTTTGTGGCCGTTTTGCACCAGATGGTCTAATATCGAGCTGTTAATAGTTTTAACTAGACCTTTACTTAGCCATACTGGGAGATGTTCTCGAGTGAGCACGAAAAATCAAGTTCCTAGAGCAACGGCCAACATAACTCACTCCATCACAAGCGCAGTTGAATTGGTAGGTACAATTTGAAGTGGCTAGTCTAGGTACTTCATCTTTCAGTCGAGGTAGTACCATCGGTCGTGTAGAAAATAATACGTGTAGTTCGCCAGCATTAAAAGTTCTTTGAACTGATTTTCTTAATTTCTTCGTAATTATCTCGCTTGGTATATCGCCCATGAATTGTAGTCGTATATATAAAGGCTTCTTGTTTATAGAGAGTGAGTAATCCTTTTCCGCTTTCTTTGTCATGTGTTTCTTGATAAATTTGTCGGGATAGCCATTTTCGATCAAAGTATCATATACAATGCTTAGTTCATCTTCAATTACTTCTTCTGAGCATATAGCTCTAACTCTGTGGCTAAGGGTCTTCACTTAATTTCTTATGTAATTGATAGGAACTAAGCTATGAAAATGTGTACATTTTCCTGTCCAAGTGCTTTTTCTATGCAAATTTCTTTTTATGTTTCCATCTGGTTTTTTGTAGGGAGGACATCCAGGAAGGTAATTCTGTCTTGGGATTCCTCTTTGCATGTGAATTTCATAGCCGAGTTGTTGACTAGCTTTTAGGAGTGGCAAAACAATTAGGCTTTTGTAAACACACACTTAGATTTTCAATACTGACGTCAAGTGAGTCGTTGCTTGTCACCTAAGAAATATTCCTAAGAACACGGAGATGGAGTGAACGCACACTGAGCAGACCATAGAGTGACACTGAGTGGCAGGCGAACCCTCGAGTGGAATGGGAATGGAACATGATAAGTTAGGCATTCTAGGGTGACATGGAGATGAGAACGCATGGGTAATTTTGCAGCCAGTTGAAGAGGATTTCGGAGGATAGGAAGAAATGGAGATATGCTGCTGAATTCCTATGGGAATAGTATAACAGTGAACAGACTTTGGCATTACAGATGATATGAACTTGATTTCATATTTTGTAAAGTCTGGGAAGTATATAAATCCAGCCAATAATTTCAATATTTACACACATTTTCTGTCTTTCGCTGTTAGCTGTTGAGACATATATTACCATTATAGTTTGTTTTACGGCGACTGCATTTCCTACCTGGCATACAGTATTCCACAAGTGATAGGTTTCATCCTACCTGTTGACGCATCAGGCTAAATAATGTAGATAAATGCAGGGACTGCAGCCTTCGCTTCACAGCCCCTTCTGCTTTAGGATACTTCCAGGATAAAAATAAGACAATTTGTCCAAAGAAAACGCTCTTTTCGGCGAATTCTACAGCTGTATACTCATTGGTCATAAACAAAATACCTAATTATATCTCTTTCTAGAAGCATCCGATACTTTATATGACAATAACACTAAGGCATTAATTACTCATGATTCATATTGTGGTGAGAGCTGTCTGGAATCCAAAACTGTAGACACCAATTTGCATAAATGTTTAAGTCCGGAATCGGGGTCATAAGAAAAAAAATGATAACAAAGCTTAACCTTGAAGAACTCACCAGTCAGTCACAGCACACTTAACGTGTGCAAATACGATTCGCAGGTAGATGGCTTAACTTTCTAAGAAACCGTCACAAGCAATACTGAATAACCTTCAGCAAGTTGACAAACAATCAGAAGACGTCACTTTTCCGCTGACATTAATGTACATAAAAATCTATGAATATCTGTCGCCTGTCTCTTGTCTTCTGTCGTTACAATATTACTGTCATTCATTTTTTGGATCTTCATTTCTCTGAGAATAAATTCTGGTGACTAGTCATTATTCAGTAGTGATTTTTTCATTATTTGTTTCATTTCATACCTTAAATCTGTTGACTTGCCAGCTGGGCTTCTGTCCTGATTACATAAACATTTAGCTAAATACACCTTAACTAATTTTGGGTGGGATGTATCAAAGTCTAGCAGAATAACTAGCCGCCAGATTTGATTCTGGGTCTGATTTTATTCTCTAACCGATGAGTGCACATTAGTCCTCAAGTAACACTAAACTCTTACTCCAACGTCTATATGACAAGGTGACGAATTTGGTAGTGAATAGCCGTGGAATAAAAGACTCACGTTTCGTCCTGTCTGGGACTCGTCAGATGGCAAGTATAAATAATTTAAACTTACTTATATGTCTACTTACCAGCTGCTTGTACAATATTTCTTGATAAGAATAAGGCATGATCATAATTATATCGTACATAATGATGAGTCAGTGCCCAATTACAAAATCGATGAACAGAACGTATCAGTGATACACCCCATAGAAGTTCATTTGACTAGAGATTGTTTAGGTTGTTTAAAAAGAAAGGAAAAGGAGAAATATTGTCAAATTTATAATATGAGAGTAAAAAAGATAAAATTTAGCCGTTTTTAAAATAAATATTGTTAAATGTCTTACGATCAGAGCAAGAAAGATATGTACGGATGACCTCTTACAAAACAAATTGGAATATATTCACAATTCCTTGACGGAGATGGGCTATCCAAGTAGTTTCATAAAGAAACATATGAAAATATCAGAGAGAAAACCTGAGATTGTGACTGTCTGCAAGTAAAAAACCACTATTTATTAAGTTACAATTTAATGGTGACTTATCAAGTGAGATTTTATTCAAGAGACTTTCCAGGAGTATACGAACAACGTTTTACGCGGCATACCTGTGTTTGTCACCCACTAGCCGACGAATAATTGGGACGCAAAAGAAGGATAAGCCAGATAGTTTTGCCACACATCTACGTACATTTATCAATTCAACTGCACCTGCGGTGACATTTTCGTTGGGCATACTACTGGACAACTTAGCCGTCTCACTACTGAACATCTCCTATCGTGGTGGTTTGGCAAAGGAGAGAAAAAAACAATCCGTAGCTCAATTTTGTCATGTAATGGAGAAAACGAGAGCTTTCAAAGCAATTCATCGTATCCTTGAGAATCTTTCCAATAGACTTCGTATTCGTCTACTGCACGCACACAGCTCAAGCGATAGGCATTCGAACTATTAAACCCCAAATAAATTTTTAACAAAATTCAAATCACAAGAATATTTAGTGAGATATTATTGTAAGATTTATTGTCTTATACACTGAACATTCTGGTATAGGTTTACATGCTCAAGTAGTGACATAGTGCGGGAGCTGAACTGCTTCATCGTCACCAGTACAACTTCCAGGTAGGAATCCCTAGACCTATGTTTCGCGTGTATTGTCAGCAAAGTGTATTTGAAACCTTGAAGGAGCTGATTTCCCTCTAGGAGATACATCCCCGTGTCGTCTAATGCTGCAGTCAGTGACTTTACCACACATAGGACTGTAAAAGATATACTAATTAGTCATTTAACACATCTTGATGCGTATATTGTACCAAGCTTACGTCTGAATAAATAAATAAATAGCACCTAACGTCACTACATAGTACACCGTGACAGTGAACCATCCAACTTGATAACTACATTGCAGACATGACCTATGGAATATAGTCAAAACCATCCAAGACTGAACACATGACGTTGTTTATGTTCTAGTGGACAGTCAAAAGAATTTAACTGCTTTTTTTAATGTACTTCTCTAACCTGGATTTAACGCCATCTGCTAATGTGTATTGTGTGTTCATACCTAGGCAGTAAGCTTCCAGTACCAATCAGTATGGTAACTCGAGTGTTTCAGAACAGACAAAGAGGTCAAACAACAAAGAGAAGACATTCAGCGAAGAGACTCTTTTCGGCGAATTCATTCACATAGCTGTACAATCGCATTTATATATTAATATTTGTGTGTGTTTATATTTATATATAAATGCGATTGTACAGCTATGTGAATGAATTCGCCGAAAAGAGTCTCTTCGCTGAATGTCTTCTCTTTTTCATATGACTCAATGGGGATTTTCAATCTAAACAACAAAGAGTTTAGTGCAAAATTAACTTTAAAGTTAACTGATGGATGGCGACGATCAGTGGAATACAGGACGCACGTTTCGTCCTATTTAGGACTCGTCGTCTGGATGTACCTGCATTCCGCAATGAGTGATGATGTTCCGAGCACTTCACCCCAATCAATCAACGGGAAAAATCTAAAATTGAATTAAATAATTAATATGACCCTTTGCACAAGATGTGGCTCTCGTGGCCCAAGTGGTCTAGTGGATAACGCTTTGGCATTTGAAACTATGGTCACTGGGTTTGAGCCTCAGTGGGAACATCATCACTCACTGGGAAATGCAGGTACATCCAGATGACGAGTCCCAAGTGGGACGAAATGCGCTTTATCCTGGATTCCACTGCTAGTCAGTCACCATCCACCAATTAAATCAACTGAGTAATTGTCAAGCACTTTATTTTATTTTTTTATTGTTAACTATATAAGTTGTAAAGTGGTTGTAAAGAAACTAGGACATTATGCCAACATCTCGCGAAATTTGTCTTCTAAATGCCTTATTCAAATTTATCAAAGGGACTAATTGTTTTTATATCTACTTAGATGAAAAGATTTCGTTTCACATAAAAATGAAGCATTATCAAGCTATTTAGTGTACGTAAAATAAATATTAAACTATTGTATAATCAAAGAATTCAGCGAAGAAATTCTCGTCTCGACGATTTCATTTTCATAGCTGTGGAATATGAATTACAATAGACAATAACAATCAGTTTACTTGTGTGTGTGTTGAAGTTTGGTAGTGAGTGGAAATACTAAAGTGCAATGATATTGGTATATGGGATCATGAGTCACAATGGATTAGACATATGAATAAATAACCAAATAAGTAGAGGTCAGCCTAAAGTTCAATAGACATTTGTTAAATAGATGATCGCAAATCTGAGTGTACGTGTGGACATACATACATAGGGAGTACTTACTCATAGATTTCCACAAGTAAAAGCTGACTTCACAGCATATTCCTAAATGGCTCCAGAAGCAAAAACAATCCCCAGAACCCATTAATGGTGAGAACAGACGACCTACCTCCTCTGTTGCGAAACATATTATACAGACAGGACATAAAATTGGTGTTTACACATCTTTTAAACCTATCTTTAAAACGTCCTAAAGTTTGTGGAAGCCCGAGCAATTAGAAAGTTTAAACCAACTCTATGCGTTCAAAGCAACGATTCGTCATCGCAGTAAACCACCTTCCTTGGTAAACTTTGTTTTGATACTAGCCAGGGTAGATGTACTATTACCTCTGTTATTTGGTTTAGTGATCTTCATTGTTATTTTGACCTTCAATATGTCCTTTTAACTTGACCTAAGCAGTCTATTTTCTCACCTCTTAACTCTATTTATTTCATATATATTCCTATGACAAGTCCGTGTGTGATCAGATTGTTCGCAATGTGGTGTGCCCAAATACATTACACGATTCAGACAAATTACGTCGTTATATTGCTTTGTCCAAAACAAAGTACATTAGTAAATGTGTATATGTGGATATAATGTGGTTAAGACATAGGATGAGTGAAGTGTTGTCAAAATATTAGACTAGATAAAATGTTAGAATATGATACCATAAAGTGAAATGAAATAAAACAAAAGTGGAACATGGAATAAAGAAGGATAACAAAGTTCTTCTGATGTGAATTATATAGTAAAATCAAGACCGTGGGGAAATGAAAGACATCGTACAAAGGGTTTTTATACAGAAAGTTCTGGCTTTATGTTTGTTATGTATTACCAAAGCCTCTGCTATACAAAACAATTGCACTCGTGTCCCTTTCAGCAAACTTTATTGGACTTTGTAGACTATATTGAACGATGTGTCAGATGCTGCGTGGTCAGTATCTACAATATGCTGAGATTTTGTAAATTCCGGTTTAATAATACTTTGATAAAGCTATTAGCATTAAATAGCGAAACGTCAGTAAAAACAGCAATATCGTTTTGTTTTTCATTCATTAGGAAATACAAAAAAGACCTTTATTATAATGAATATCATATACCCGATCCCCAAATTTTTTCAAACCGTTAAAAGTCAACTTGGTTTGGACATATATAATATATCAATAAAATATGTTCATTGAAGAGTTAGGTTATGAAATGGGATATCTAGCAGGTTTCAGCTTAGGTTTGGGAAAGATTAAGTTACTTTTTAAACCAAGGACAAGTTAGGGTTAGGTTAACCTAATAGAGGCGACATTAGGGTTGGTTCGAGTTAGATTACAATTAGTTCAGAGATATTTTCACGTTAGGGTTAGGTTCAGGAAAGATAAGGGTTAGAAGACCGAAATAATTACATGCATGGAATGTGGTTAAATTACTATGTTGATATAAGAATAGAACGTTTCGAGCACAATTTACTGCTCAGTATAACACTATAAAACTTTACCGGAATAAAGTTTACCCAGAATGGAATTATACTCTGTTGATATTTCAACCCAAAAACTGAGAGCTATTTTTATCACATTTGAGAGGGATGTATCCTCCGTATGACTCCTTTATAGTTTTTATGCAATATTTTGTCATAAATATATGTATTCCGTACAATAAAACGACTCCTTCATGTGGTTGATGCTTTCAAGGTCATGTGCTGGTTGGTAGTTAGTGGCGCTTAAAGTTTAAATTTGCCAACATTTGAAATATTTCGTTAATCAAATCAACTCATATATCTCTCTATAAAACACAAAATAATGGAGCAAAGAACATCCTTTTCGATAATTTCCTTCTATTCTGACTCTACAATTATTTACATATATGTTTATATACACAGAATATTCTAGATTAGTGGTCAATAACAATATTGGTTTGCTTTTTAAATAATATTGATTTGTTAAGTAAGATCACAATGGAATTACCACAGTTCATTAAAGATGCTTAAATTATAATAATAATAATAATAATAATAAAGATATAGTAGCCAATAGAATATAAGCAAATTGAGGATCATTCAAACCTGGATGGCCAAGGTATGGACAATGTCTGAACTAGCTTCTTTTGGACACACAAATCAGGCTTGTTAATGTGGATTCCAACAACCAGTCTCAACAATATTAAGTAGTCGAACTCTTAGGGCGAAATTGAGATTTGTTGGTATGTGTGGTAAATGACTTTGAAAGCTGCCTCGTCGACATCAGTCTTGTGTTCTGTATCCACAAGATGAGATAGAATAGCGCTGCGAATAGATTTTGTTTGATATTTGTTTAACCAGGCATGGTGATGTTCGGAAATTCGACGAGAAACACGCCTAATTGTACGGTCTATGCAACTAACTGGCTCCACAGGAGCAGTTAAATTGGTGTTTCTCGTCGAATTTCCGAACATCACCATGCCTGGTTAAACAAATATCAAACAAAATCTATTCGCAGCGCTATTCTATCTCATCTTGTGGATACAGAACACAAGACTGATGTCGACGAGGCAGCTTTCAAAGTCATTTACCACACATACCAACAAATCTCAATTTCGCCCTAAGAGTTCGACTACTTAATATTGTTGAGACTGGTTGTTGGAATCCACATTAATAAGCCTGATTTGTGTGTCCAAAAGAAGCTAGTTCAGACATTGTCCATACCTTGGCCATCCAGGTTTGAATGATCCTAAATTTCTTTTGTAGAAATTTCCTTAATTTTATTTGATATTCTATTTGCTATGATATCTTTATCTACATATAACACAATAAAATGTAACTAACCTCAGCTTCACTGACCCATATAATATCTTGTATAACTAAGCTCATATTAACTCCCAAAGATGGATGATGAAAGAGTTCATCAGTCTAAAACATTGACAAAGAAGTAGTTTGTCAAAGTAAAAAATAAATTCACTTAATATACCAATTAAAAATATTGTAATTAGACGCAACAGCACTTATCGATGAGCCACACTTGTTATGTGCAAGCTAATGACCGCCCAAACCTATGAAGGTGTATCAGCGTTCAAACTTAAGGTGTAATAGTTTAAATTCAAGTTGCAAACCTGAATCTTACAACTGATCATTCTTTGCTTCAGACATTATTTGGACTGTTACCAATTTTGTCTCATAATCTGATCTTCTTGTGTATAAAGAAAGATGCTTACATTGCCTGGCCATCTTGTCTCATTAAATATAACATAAATATCCAAGCTTTTGTTGAGAATCACACTGGACTGAATGAAATCTTATCACGTACAATTCTCCAACAAATTAAAGAAATCCTTAGGACTAAAGCTATGTCCATCAAATGAGGTAAAAGGATAGATGACCGCCGATGACAATGGCTAGAGGTTGCGTTATATATATCGCATATTAACAGAAGATGGGACTCATATTCCTTAGGATTGGGTCCTACTGGTTGAATGTTCTATGAGTTCTCTGTGTAACAGGATGGTACTGAGTTCGTAACCCAGTGGGTGCTTACTGCCGATGAGTCTCTTACTAGGACGAAACAGCTGTCCAGCACTCCCTTACTAGTTTTCAGTTATTCTGTAATTGATATCAGTCCGTGGTCAAACCTGAGATTAGTAGTCAGTACATGTTCAAGATCTTATTATTATTATTATTCCATAAGGTTCCGAATGGAACACAGAAATAAAGCAAGACGACTCTATTTCATCTTGTTCCGTGCGGTTTCTACCTACACGATCTCCTTCACTTCACCCTTGAAGCAAAGTCCATATTGTGGCCTCTCACTCGGGTTCTACTTGAGGGCCACCTTGAAAAGTAATAACACGCAGTAGTTTCCTGAAGGTATATCCGATCCATCTCCGTATTTGTTGGGCAATAGTTTCCCAGTTGGTTCATTAGCCCAGTTCCTGACAGCTTGGTGATCCTTTCTGGTGAATTACATGATCTTCAGTGAGGAGAAAGTGCTTTTGGTGACCCGCCAAATCATTCTAGATCACAGAATATCCCCCCTCAAGAGGATTTGATGTGATAAAACCACACGAACGACTCCTCAGGTTTGTGCGGCAAGAAAAGAAAACTGAATACAAAATTTAGTGTAAAATCTCCTTCCACATATAATGAAGTTCCCTGTATGATGTTTTCAATAAAGCAACATTACATACAAAATGAATCATAATTGTTCGACTCTATTGGGTACTGATTAAATTTCGACCATTTTCATATCGAATGAAATCAAAACTAACCATTTTAATCAATGTTTTAACATAGTCTTCTGCCATTTTCTTATTTTCAAAGCGATCCATTACTGTATGATCCGCGAATACCAATGTTTCAATCCAATAATTTTGTTCAACTGTAATAAAGTAATTTGTTGTTTTGATTACAATATTTTAATTTAAAGCATTAGACTACTTAATATTTTTAAGTAGCAAAATAATATGCAATAAAAGCGTATTTACATCCATTAACATTATTCAAACATTAAGTATTTCCTTTTCGTAGAGAGAAATTCATTTTTTCAGCTTATCTTTCATGAAGGACGAATAGATGCAATTTACAGATACACTTCTGTAACCTAAGTCGACACTATCGACTTAGGTACACAGTGATACAGTATCTGTTATCACTGTGCGTCAGTGACACAGCGGTAGAGTGCTCGCTGACCACGTAGGCGGTCCGGGGTTCGATCCCCGGTCACTGACGCACTCCTTTACTTCAATAAGCCAGTAGTAAGACTGGTAAAGGGGGAAGGTTCGGCATGAGGCTAGCAACCCCATCCTGTAAAAATAATCACCACTGTTACGGAAACTTCAAGCCTCTAGCTTGGCATCCTATGTTCCACTGGGAACGTAAAGGAATAAAAAAAAGTCGACACTTTAATATCGTGTGATGCCGGAGAAAGCGAAATAGCACCGATACAATTCCTGATGGCTGACAACAGTTAGAGAAGCAATGAACACCTGCTTGCACTGAATAGCCGTTTCATCCTAGTTCTGGACTCCACATCAGTGATCCCCAGTAGCTCCATCAGGGATCAACACTGAGATCATTTAGGCATTGAGACAAAATACTGGTGTCAACAGCCTCAAGAAGTCTTCTGAATAATAATCTTCAGCAATAATAACATCGAAAGCTCAAAATTACCTAAGCAGTCCTACTAAGCATCTATACAGATAGGGTAACTTTCCAATTACAAAACAGGTATTTAGAACCAAGTAGAATCTTCCCAACAAGGTGGAATCAAAATTGCATCTATACGAATCACACACCAACAATTCCCGAAGACATAAGTATAAAACTTAGGCACTGTGGTAGAGTACAACTCCATTATGGATAAGATTTTATTTTGATAAATCACACAGTGTTGTACAGTAATATTAACTGATGACGTTTCGAGCATAAACTATTGCCCATGATCATATCAAGTATATCAAGTATATCAACTTGATATGATTATGAGCAATAGTTTATGCTCGAAACGTCGTCAGTTAATATTACTGTACAACACTGTGTGATTTATTAAAGTAAAATCTTATCCATAATGGAATTCCCGAAGACAGTTCAAGGTCAGAATGACATTGACTCAAACAAAATCACATCGCAAAATAGCACATTATCAACATCATCATACAACTGCAAACAGAAGCATTAAAATCAGAGATTAAGCAAGAGCGAAGACAAATAGTAAGGATCAAGTCAACATGTAGGATGTGCAAATGTCAGGCGAATGATATGCGGTCCAAGAGAAAAACGGATAATTATTGCAAAGTTAGTTGAAACATTCAATTAAGTAAAAATATGCTAATTGAATTGTTCGGGAGGGATTTTCCATACAATTATTCCGTTATACTTCTCTGATGCATAAAACACTTTGGTAATCGTGGTTATTTTTGAGAATAAGTGATATTTTCATTGGACACTAGTAACTAGTGTGATGTGTCTAGTCCTTTGTTTGATGCAGACTGAATTCTATTAGTCAGCTTTGCAATGTAGCTACCCACCATTCTAGGTGACTCGCCATCACGGTGCACTTTGAATTTTTGATGTTAGGTGGTCGGATGTAATTAGCAGGAAGCCTTGGACCTAGGTTTTGTGTTTGTTGCCACTCACCTGTCAGCAAGGCGTATCTTCAGCCTTGAAGGAACTCATGTCCCTCCTTCTGAGATTCGAACCCACGTCATCCAGTGCTGCAGTGAGGCTCGCGGTTAATCTCCTGGAGGAATAGTGTCCAATAAAAGTATCCAATACAGTCCTACAGAAGCTCAGTTGCAAGCCCGAATAGCTCAGTGGTAACGTCTCTGACTCACTGAAGCACTGGGTGACGCAGGTTCTAATCTCAGAAGGAGGCACATTAGTTCCCTCGAGGTCTCAGATACGCCTTGCTGACTGACAGGTGATTGGCAACAAGCATGAAACCTAGGTCGAGCAAGGTTTCCTGCCGATTGCCTCCGACCATCTAACAATAGGTGATATTCATGACTAAACCAATAAGCAGCTAACTGCAGATATTCGAAGCATTCTTGGGTTATTTAATTAGAACAGGGTGCTTTCGTACAGAATTCATCCATGTCGGAGCGAATTCTGTCATCAACCAATTTAACTGAAAAAGACACTGAAAATTTTGCTGTTTCATCCAAGTATAGGATACCTGAGCAGTCTACATCCAAGAACTTTTCATCGATCAGATACTAGAACATAAAAATTACGAGACAAAACTAGGTAGAACTTCAGTAGTCGACAAATTCTAACTGCTGTCATTCCATATTAGTTTGTTTATTAGATACATCACACACAGTGAGTGAAACAGTATTGCTATTTACTGGATGACACAGTTTCGAACAAAATTTATTGTCCATAATCATATTCTCAATTATAATCACACGACTTCGAAACTTGAGTTTTATAGTTTTCTTTGTTGTCTCCTATTTGTCGTAGGGGTAGTAGAATTTCCTAGATGTCCGGGTGGACAGGTGTTGAATCATTCCTATTACACGGATTCTGTTTAACTGATTCGATAAACAAAGCTTCTGCTATCTATTTGTCCTTCAACCATGTTAGTTATATTAGATTTTAAAACTGTCATCTTATCCCATACTATTGTATGGTTGTGCTTAATTGCATGTAGTGCTATAGCTGAACTAGCAAAATCACCAAATCATTGCCAGTACTTCCATACAAGGAAGGAACCTCGGAAACCTTACTAAGAATTCTTAACAATGCAGGTAGGAATAAAAGTGGCATTAATACCCACAAACTCGATTAGAAACGAACTTTGTCATTTAAAGGATCCTGCCAGTGGAGCCTTTAAAACAAAACAACTTAGTTTGTCTAATACCCTGCTTGAATGATTATCAGATCAAATTCATAGGTCAAAGTAGTAGAACAGGGGAAGTCAGTCAGACTAGCCAAGCATAAAAACCTAGCAGAAAAATCTAGATTAGTTGACCCGAATAAGATAAGAAATCTAGAGAATGGTTCAACTATTGTACTCACTGCATGCAATTACACAACCATACAATAGGATGGGATAGGATGACAGTTTTAAAATCTAACGTAACAAGGTGGAGGGAGAGATTGATAAGGGAAGCTTTGTTTATCGAATCAACTGCAAATCAACACGTGTAATAGGAATGATTCAACACCTATCCAGTCGGACATCTGGAAAATTCTACTACCCCTACAACGACAAATAAGATATAATAGGGAAAACTATAACATAGAAGTTTCAAAGTTGTGTGATTCTAATCGCTATGATTATGAATAGTAATATATTCTGTTTGAAACTTCATCCAGTAAATAATAATGCTGCTTCACGCACTGTGTGTGATACATCTAATAAACAAACTGATAAGGAATTACACACTACCACAGTGCCCAAGTTTTACCCATATATTAATCTAACTGATGTCAATTCGTAGTACGGTGTTGTCACTCTCTATCTTCACATTCAAATTAGTGGAGGCCACTGCTTTCACCATCTAACTATAAATTCATACATTTTTAAATTTATATACCATAAGCAAGCTACAGTTCACTTAAGTTTTGAGACATAATAAGCAGTAAGGCATGCAGAAAGCGGAGGAAACTCACATCCTGACACATTTTTGTTACGCGCACTTAGAAACGTATTCATATGCATTGACATGCATCGCAAATTCTTTCTAATAACTTGAAGAGGACATTATTCATTCACATTCCACAGTCCTCTGAACATTTTATGTCATCTCTATGGAGAATCACAGTGAACAGTTACAGCGTTAAGCTGGCAGCCTGCTTAAAACTTGGGCTACTAAAAACCTCTATCAATATCTATATTGCATGTAATTCCTCTCATTCAGTTTGTTTAAACCCAGTAAAATATGACTTTTAATAGCACTGTCTACTCTGGCGGGGATTTAAAACATTTAAAACCTGCTCATTCACAAGGTTCTGCTAAATGTGAGACAAAACAAGCATTTTCCTCGATAGATGGCAGTTTATCCCAATACATGAGATGATTGTTCCTGAGTGTTGTCCTTGATCCACAAAATGTACCCCTGAACTTTTTGTGACTGGCATTCAACAAAATGTGGTGTACTTCTCTATATTTTTAAGTGACATTGTGGCATCCTTTTTGTTGTCTACTTGCAATTTTTCTGTGTCGCTCAGAATTGTCACCATTTTATGCATATAATCAGCTCTGTTCATTATAACAACCCCAGAGCCTTTATCAGGTGTAAATATGAAGATGTCATCGTTCTCATATAGTTTCTTCAGAGCTATTCTATGCTCTTCGGTTAGCATCTTCTACTTCACCATTGGTGATATGTGATATTGGTTAGCTAAATAATAATAATAATTTGCTTTATTCCAGAAACAGTACTAGTGGTACAGTGTGGAATTTTCAGCACATATCTACAATATTTGCATCTAATTTTATCAAACATTTAAAAGGAGTATTTCAAAATATAAATATAAAGGCAACAAAAACAAACACAAAAATAATAAAAGAAAAAACTGCGAAAAAACACCAAGAAGTAGGAAGGAAAATAAACAACGTAATAAATAATATCTCAGTATGGGGTAGTGAAAGCTATGATATGATTATGCATGGTGACAGTAAAGCTGTAGTCATACAAGAAGTTATGAAATGATATTTACAAATGTTTATCGCCAAGATGATCAGTTAATTTGGTTGAAACAACTCTAAACAATCATAAAATAACATTTCAGGGTTGTTGTTTTGTTTCTTATTGTCAGGTCTAATGCAGTGTTTGTAGTGGTAGTGTGAGTAATCCTGAATAATACAAAATTTTAAGGTGGTGATAATGGCGTTCACAACCGATGATTGTCAGTTAATATTGCCGAAAAAAA